GGAGCGCCTCCCTCGCTCCTCGGCCGCGAATTCTCTTTCCCCCTAATGGAACGTCGGCGCGAGTCGTTCCAGCTTCCGGGCACATAACGCGACGCGCCGTCGCCCGTCAACCCGAGACGGACGCTCGGCGTCCGCGCTTCCTCGATGCCACTTGTCCCCACGGAGTCTCCGAACTTTATCTTCCTCAACTTCCCCCGAGGAAATCCCGCCGAAGGGGCATTAAGAGAAATAACTCGGGATCCGAGGGTCAGACGAAATTTCGCACGAGGGTCGTTTCGCTCAGATTTCCGCGCGGAATCGGTCCGCGTCCAGATCTTTCGTGGGTTCTGCAATATTGCGTACGGACGAACGGAGGGAAGGGAACCCGCGAGGGGGATCCTCGCGGAGATTCAGCGTATTTTACGGATCGTATCACTTTACTTTTCCTTAAGCCCCGACACGTACCCTCCGGGTCTTCCTGGGACGCTCGCGAGGGAGTTTCCGTGATTTAGAGTGTCCGAGGAGATTTTTCGTCCGTATCGCTTCGCGCACCCGATTATTATCGATGGACCGCAAATAAAGAACTGACGCCGCATTATCGCTCGTTAACGAACACTTGGATCATGGGGTTCTCGTTTTGAGAACACTGTATGCGGTGAATGCGTTTACGCGTATACACCCGGGAAACCCGATTACGTTTACACGCGGTCGGGGATAACGGAAGTCGATTATTTGCAATTCATTCCGCACCAACGGGAACGCTGCGTTCTAACGTAACCGGTAACGAAATCGCGCGGGCGCGGTTACAGGGGCAATCAGAATGCGAGCTCCTCGCGAATTCCGAGGGAATTCGGTTTTCCGGGAAAATTGACCAATGGGGTTACTCGAAGCGACGCGAGTTACCGCCGCTTTGCATTTCTACGCGGAGCGAATGGGATTACTTTTAATATTCCCCCGGAATTCTCGGCCGCGTCGTGCGTAATTTCGGAGACGATTCCGCCGACTCGCTGACCGAATTTTAAGTTAAAAATTATTAAATCGCTGATCCTCGCAGCCCGACGGATAAAAAAGGACGGAAGTATTTTTAACGTCCGCAAATTTATTCACGGAATTACCTCGCCGTGATGGCACGGGATCCTGGTGGAAGCCTGGATAATTTAAATGAGTCGCGGAGATGGCGGGGACCAATTTGCGCGTATACGCGAGCGCGTGCAGAAATCGAGGAACCGTGTATCTACGTTTGGCCGTTCATTTTTCACGGAGCGTTAACTTTGACGAACGGAAATCAACGCGGAATCGAGAAAGCCCTTTTCCAGGACGACTTCTTCGGAGGGACCGAAACGTACCGTTCGTCCTCTACCCGGCATTAATTCGATTAAATTCTCGGCCCTTATTTCGTCGGATTTGCCGTGCCGCGCTGTCGTAATTCAATCCGTCCTCGACTCCGGGGCTCGCTTTCATTTAGCTAAACATTTCCCGTAATTCGATGTGTTCCGTGCGCGTACCCGAACGCCGCGTCATAACATTATTGTCGGTATGACGCAATGGACGATATTCGAGAAACCGTGGAATACGCGGTCCGCTTCCCAAGCCTCCGCGCCGGTAGATTAATCAAAGGGCTTTCACGGCTTATCGCTGTTAACTTTACCGCGCGTTAATAAGTCCTAATTAAATCCAGCCGATCCACGGAAGTGACGAATCAACGAGGACCGGGTTCCTAAACGATGATCCCCGAAACCCGACGACACGGACTTGGCAGGATGGACGGGACCGTACATCGATAATTGAATGCATCGGCGCGATCGATTTTCCGGACCGGCCGGGAACTTAATCCGGCGCCCTGCGTCGCGGCCCTGGGAAGCTGGGTCTCCGTTTTCATTTCGAAATCCACTTATTTCCTTCCACCACTTGGCGCTCCCGGGCGCCCTCTCGAACCCATCGCGGATATATCGCGGATATATCGCGGATATATCGCGGATATGCTCGGCAAATATTCGAATATGATTCGGCTCCTCAATCGCGGGCGTCGTCGACGCGACAAAAACCCGGAATACGAGCGATCGGGTGCAGCTGATACGAAGTATTGTGTTGCGGGAAAGGGGCGGGCTTTTTATTGATACGTGCCACGCCGCGGCGCCCACGTGCACCCCCGAGTGCACCGATGCACCTGTCGCGTGCACCGGTCCCCTCGTCCCCGGGTGCTCGCGAATGGACCCCGCCCTGAGTTTCGGCGACTCGATCGTCGACGAAGCCGAACCGCGATGCGCTCGACGAGCGGACGAACGTGCATACGCGGACACGCGGAGGAAGCATGTACCGCGCACGCCTATTCCTAATTGCGGCGAACAGTTTGTCATACGCGACATGGGTTTCCGTGTCGCGCCGCGGCACCCCGGACACCGCCTCGCGGTGTTTATATTCGAATACATCCTTCGCGATGCAATCGATACGACCACCCGGACCGACGGCGCGTCGACGAATATCCCTACTCCACTCGGCGAATTATTCCCACCGCCGACTTATTTCCCCGGAACCGTTGCACACCTCCTTAACTTCCGAATACGATTTGCATGACTTCCCGGGAGTTTGTAATCGAACAAGTGGATTAATTCAACGACTGGCGCCCGAATGAAACGAGTAGACAAGCTCCTCTCCGCGGGGCGATAAATCTCCTTTATAATAAAGTCGGTCGCTTCCTGGCTGCGGATATACATCGAATTGAAAATAAAGAAGCGGGGAACCGACTCACCCTCGAGCGATAAATCTTCCCCTCCGAGTACTCCTCCCTCGGTATGGGTTGCTTTATTCCGTGTTTCAATTCGGATTTAAAGAGCGCACCTAATGTATCGTTTCATCGTCGGACGAAACGGTACGGTCCCGGGCGATCCGGGGAACGAGGCGGACTTCGATGGGCAAGGGGTCGCCGAGTCGAGGGAAATCGCTCATACGAGGCACGACTCCGCGGAACGCGAAGAGAGCATCGGGTTTATTACTTACGTTCACGAGCCGAGGAAAGAAAATTCTAGATGCAACAATTTACCTTTACGGCTCCCGAGAAAACCGTCCGCACCGTCGCAATAAACGTATCTCCTCGGCGTTACTTGAATTCGGAATTGCGAGGGGACGCCGCATCGCGCGGTCCAGGACTCGCCCTCCCTCGAGGAGCCTGAAGCCCCTCGCTGTGACGACGACGTATCGTTTCCTGGAAATTGAATATGTCAAATGTCGAAGCATTTACCTTTATCTCCCATCTCGATCCCTGCCCCGTGTCTTCCGCCTCGCGACCTCTTCCTCTTCCCCTCGCCCCCGGCCCCCCATTCCGCCCGCGACAACGTCCGCGCTATCTCGCCGAGAGAAAATTGCATTTCCGCCCAACTTCCGGTGAACGCTTCGTGCCCCTCGATATTCATATTCCTAATGTCGCGTGCAAGGAGGATCCCCGACGGGAACCGGAGATTCCGCCACGTTGGCGACGAAAGCCCGCCTACGAGAGGACATCGAGAAGGGGCAAAGGGGAAGCTCGATCCCGAATCCTAAATTCCACTTTCTCAAAAGGCGGATACTCGGTCAAATTGAAGCAACGCTATCTGCGTTTCATTTAAACCGATGTAAAGTCCGAGGTAAAACTCGGTGTCCTCGAAGGGACCGAGTTGGAAAGAATCTTCCGGACAATGCACCCCTGTTCTTCCCGTCTCTCGCACCTTCCCCAAATCTTCCACGTGGTCTCTCTCCCACCCGAGGGGGAGATGCGCCAGAGAAAAGGTAATGCAGCTTTACGGGGCCATCGGGTCTCGTCTACCCCCCTGGAGTTCTCAACGCGTGTTAACGTTCCCCGTTGTGGTTACGAGAAAAAATTCCTGAACTTTGTCGCATCCAGCGAGGCGATCGGCCAGTCGGCCGACTAATGGTCATTACCATATCGAGTAATCCGCAATCGTTCTAAAACGGATGTCATTATTTCCCTCGCTCATCAGTCGTCGCAATTTTAAGCATTCGTCATGCCGCGACTTCGATGAATGACTGGATACTGGAACCAACCAGTAGAGGTTCTTGAATCCTCGTTAAGTGACCCTTAAAAGCCATTTAAGTAAAATAGGGTTAGCGTAAGAGTAGTTACGCTAATCGCCTTATGAAGAAAATCGAAGACCTTTAGTCCACCGGCCTGGGTTAAGTCTTGTAAAGCAAAGGCAAAAGGCACCTCGTTCTAAGCGACGGCCATTCCGTCTCTCCTTCTTTCTCTCTGCCGGGAAATAAAATAAATACGATTTAGATACAACTCAGGGAGCCCGCCAGCGGGCGGAGCAACTCCGAGAGAACTATTATCACAACTGATGGAGTCATTATTTCGGAAGAAAGCGAGGAACGAAATCCAATAAAAGTGGATAGACCGTAAGAGCGAGCCCGCGCGCATTCAGGAAGAGATAAGAGGACAATAGTACCCAGAAGGAATTAAGGGACCTTATGCACCTGCAGTAAAGGAGCAAAGGGCGAAGGTGCAAAGCCATAAGAAAGTCGCCATTTCACCCCGAAGCAATTCGATGTTTAAGCCCGAAAGCAGTGAAAATACGGAGATTCAACGCTCGAAGGAGTCCTCCTTGACAACCTTACTCTATTCATAAAAATGGCGCACCTGTAATGATACGTCTCACGCGAAAAAAAAATGTAACTTCATAATAAGCATTGAGAATCGTCGGAATAAAACGAATTTTCTATTCAAGTTGACCGCTCATTCGTTATCCAAGCCATGTCACTTCCCAACCGAAACATGACCGGAAGTCTCGAACTACTCTAAACAACGATATGTAGAATCACGTCGATATCATTATCTATCGTCGAACAGCAACGGGCATAGCTTTTCGGGCGATGTCTCGAAGGCCACGCAAAAATTGACTGGAAGAAAAGACGCGGAAAATAGGCGAGAATTAAAGTCTCTCGTCGAAGTTCACGAGGGACCGAAAGAGCTTTGGCGTGATAGCGACTTAATACGGGCCGGAGAAGTAGCGTGAGTTCCGGGCGACGTAAAAGAGGTCGAGGTGCCATTAAATGAACGATCAATCGAGTGAAAGCCTTCCCTGAGTTTTGCCGGCTGCTAAAAGTGCCTCGAAAACCGAACGAAGGAACTTCTCGCGGTTACTCGGTTATTAATAATTAGAGCACCCGCGACTAACGCGCACTCGGCTCCGCCACCAATCAACGCAATTCAGAGCAGACCGACAGATAACGGAATCTCGTGGATTTGTCAGTGTACTCGTGATTAACATATATACCCACTGAAATTAGACCTGCATAATCGTCGCCGAGGTACGCGGAGCGTGAATTTAAATTTTTACGCGTTAACGTCATCGATGCCCCCCTGCGAACGGACCGTGGAAACGTGCAGGGAAACGACGTTCCAGCAAAGCCCTCTGCCGATCGGAACGACTCCGACCTACCCTCCTATACCCTACCTTAGCCTAATACTTGCTCGGCAGTTTCTATTCCAAATGGACGGTACCGTTACCGGATTAAAGTACTAACCACTGTACAAGATAGCGATCAAACGTTCCAAGTGGCTAATTTGCGGAGGCGGCTAATTCTCTGGCTCTCGGAAGATGAGGCCGACGACAGTCAGTATTCCCATATCCATTCCCGCGGGAGTGTCGTCTCGTGACGGGTTACTTGGTGGAATTAAAACGCGGCCTTTTTGCGAGAATAAGAGGGAGGAGCCGGTACGTCCACCCCGCGCAATCTCCGTACTAAATATTCAGTCAGGCCGTTTTACGAGTCATGCCCGTCCCACGACAACAAGGGCCGCAACGGATATTCCGAGCGACAAGCAATCTGTGATTTAAATAGTCATAAGTGCCCTGTTTGCAAGGCAAAACTACGAAAAGTGCACGCCCGGTCTCGCACGACACATTCCAAGACGGTATCCCGTCTGGAAACGTCAATCGGAGTGTACTTAAAAAATTCTCGTGATGGCCATATCGGTCGAATCTGACGTTTCTACGGGGTGAATGAATTCCATTGTTTAGGATCAGGCGATTTTATCGAGCCTTTCTTGTTCCAGCTCACCTCAAGAACTCTGCTTTTCGTTTTGCCATTGACTGCCCTGCTCTTGAAACAAGATGTACCGTAGAGTACTTGCTTTCGCCTTCGTCGCTGGTGTATGTAAGTACACGTGGACATTAGGCGAAAAAGTTGGAACGGTTTTGAAGTATGAACGCGTTAAATTGTGTTATTAATTTTTGCAACAGGCCATTCTTGCATCCCACGAGATTTTGGAAGCGGTAGTGTCGTTTGCGTGTGCAACTCGACGCACTGCGATTTCACCCCGAAATTAAATACGCCGAACGAGGGTACTTTCTTGCATTACGTTTCGAGCAAGGCAGGCCAACGGCTGAGTCCAAGCGATGGAACGTTTAGTAACGAAACGATCGAGGGAGCTTCTCTGATCGTTAATAAAAATAAAAAGTATCAAACCATGCACGGTTTCGGGGGTGCCTTCACCGACTCAGCCGGCATCAACATTAAAGGTCTCAGACCCGCGGCTCAAGAATTCTTGTTACAGTAAATTCACTTAGTCATTTTGTAATACAGATAGAGATAGCTGGAACAAATATAGGAATTTCGTTTTCACCTGACAGGTCGTACTTCGGGAAGAATGGCAGTGAGTACAATTTAGGACGCACACCGATCGGTGGCACCGACTTTTCCCTCAGACCGTACGAACTGGACGACCACGAGAATGATTACGAGTTAAAGTATTTCTCGTTAACGCAAGAGGATTATATTTACAAAATTCCACTTATGCAGCGAGCCCTGGAAATTAATCCAGAATTAAAGTTTCTCGCTGCGGCATGGTCTGCGCCGCCATGGATGAAGGTCGACAATCGATACGTAGGATATGGTAGACGCTTCAATTGATTTTTTTTTTTTTTTCCAGTAACCGAGATATGCAAACGGTACGCAATTTATATTGAAATTCGCAGGGCATCTCCAGCAGAAGTATTATCAAACATATGCGAATTATTTGATAAAATTCCTGGATGCTTACAAGTCACATGGATTGAAAATGTGGACCATTTCAACTGGAAACGAACCGAATGACGCGATCTTAGAAATAAAATCCTTCAACAGTATGGGATGGACATTTGAAGAATTGTCCCAGTGGGTAGCCAATAATCTGGGACCAACCTTAAAAGCCTCGCAACACAATGAAACCATCATAATCGGTCTGGATGACCAAAGGTGTTTTGTGCCTTGGTACATCAGCAAAATCTTCGAAAACGAGAAAGTCAGGAGTTACGTCTCCGGCATTGGTCTACATTGGTACACCGATGAATACTTTCCTCCCATTTTACTCGACTGGACCCACGATCAATTTCCAGACAAATTTTTAATTACGACAGAATCATGCGTCGGTACGTATAATTTTTAGCGAAAGAACAAGGTTGAAGAATTTTTTTTCTTTGGATACGTATTAAAATTCTCTTTGCTCGTATAGTTCCGTTTTTGGACTACAACAAAGTGGTCCTGGGATCGTGGGAACGAGCGGAATACTACATTTTATACATGATTCAAGTACGTATTGCATCGATCTTGGTTCCTCAATAAATTTCTATGTCAAATATATATTATCAATGATGACGTGTTAAAGAATATTAACCACTGGGTGTCTGGTTGGGTGGATTGGAATCTCGCCCTGAATATGGAAGGTGGTCCCAATTGGGCCAAAAACGCTGCGGACGCTGCTATCATCGTTAACGCCGAGAAGGACGAGTTTTACAAGCAGCCTATTTTCTACGCGATCGCGCATTTTAGCAAATTCATCCCACGAGGATCAACTCGGGTGGATATCACAAATCATAATGATATTAAAGCCATGGCTTTCACCACGCCCGAAAATGAAACCGTGACTATCGTCTATAATACGTACGTTAACGATAATTATGTACTGATTGAAGATGACATATATTATGAAAATTTAATGAAGAGAAATGGATTTCTGTTGCAGTCTGAGTACGCCACAGAACGTGAGCATCAATGACTCCGAAAGGGGCAATATCAACCTAATGTTACCACCATACTCCATCCATACAGTAGTATACAAATGAATGCATACCTAACACATTTGGCATAAATTAGCCATTAATTATACAATAAACTGCAGGTTCCATAGCAAAACTGTAAAAACAAATTTTTACCTGCCTGTACTTCAGAGTGAATCTGTGATTAAATCTAAATATAACGTAAAACATTAATTACACTTTGTTTATGGATAATACGTCTTGGCCCATTTATTTTTGCTTTTCGGACCTTCTGGCCTTAAAGCCTTTGGTATATATTGTGGTGTATGGTCATCTAATCTGCGATTTATTATAGGCTTTCCAAGCTCCCATTTTGTGTCCCGCCTATCCAACGGACGGGTTTTATGGTTGATCTTATAAATCCACTCCCAATTATAAATCTCTGGCATTAATCTAAAATTTGTTATAAAAACATACTTGAAATCTATATTTGTTTCATGAGATACCACTAAGAAAATAAAAGTATAAAATATATCCCACCTATGCCTAGATCTCTTGGAAACCAGATATTTGTAATTATGCTCTAGCCACTCTCTTCTCTCGGGATCCTCAATATCTGCTATTACTTTTTCCGTTTCTCCCAGATACGGTTTCATGTTTATTGCTCTTTCTATGGGAACATTGGCATAAAACTTAATTAACAGCTTCAAAACTTCTTCGTTAAATCCATGAAGCTGTTTCTCTTCAACTTTCTCAAATAATTTCATTGGTTTAGTGGCCCAACATATGTTTCGCCTGGGATTAATATCTATATGTTCACTATATAGAAGCGTTGTGTTTAGCTGGTACACACAGAATGTCCACCATTGACCATTTGATATAATAGTTTGCGTTACTAATGGGTACGTTACATCTTGAAATGTTGAAAAGCCTAGAATGAAATATTTGCTAATGACCTTTCCCTTTTTTTAAACAAAAAAATTCAAACTCAAAGAAACACTGAATGTTAATTTACGTTTACAAGTCGGAAAGTTACCTTGATAACATGCCTGCGGATAAAGCCATCCATAGGATGCTAGTATCGATTGTGCAATAAGAGTATCATCTTTATCATCATAAGTTGCAGGCCTTTCAGCCATGTAGCCTCGTTTATGATAAGACAAAGTACCGAACTCGCTTGGATCACCTGGCCAAAATCCAGGAATGCATGTGCCGTGTTGTAATTTATTACTGTATCCCAGTACTCGAGGATCGTATCTAAATTCAGGAACGTTAAGATCTGTGTTTTCCGAATCACTTAACGGAATGATTTCCTTCAAAGGAAACTCGTGTCTTAACTGTAACAGCGGATTTCCATTGTATTGAAACCATCTGTCTATCGGCATATCAGCATATTCTTTTAAAAACTCATTATTTATTTTTGCACTCCGTGAGCCCTTAGTCGGTACTATCCCACCTACTTTCCAAAATGCTTCAATACGTGGCTCATAGTCTACTTGCACTTCTAACAGATGTGGATACTTTGTTGAAAGAGTACCTAGAATGAGCCTATTAATTTGTCGAACCACAGCATCTGCCATAACGTCATCCAATTTTGAAGGACTTAATAAAACATCTTTATCTAACTCTGACTCTCTCCTATAACAAAATTACTTGTAAAGCATCACGAAGCAGAGATTGCTCTGTAAATTAATACTTTGCAGTACATACCGCCGTTCAGTGTACTCAAATAAAATTGCATTTTTAATTTTGTCTTTAATTCCATCAACAAGAACATTCAATACATCGGATTCAATGGAGTCGTTGTAACACGATGGTAGATCCGAATCACTCTTTACATGCGTTCTTGTAATATATTGGGCAAAAGGTAGCGAATTATAGCAAATTTTTCCTTCTTCTAAGTTAAGGGTATTCCAACCATAGTATCTTGGGATGTTTAACTTAAACAATTTTTCTTCTACAGTTTTTATAACTTTAACCTCATTTGCAGCTTGTTCGCGTTGTCTCTGCTTTTGTGCAAGGTAGGAAACATCCAATATTGGAGGATATTCTGGCACTTTGGAGGACTGAATTTCTTCCACTGCTGGAGAAATATATTTTCGAGCAGTATGTCCGACAACAGGCAGCACTCTAGCGCAGAAGCGCTTATTTATTCGACTTAACGACATTTCTAATATCTTATGAATACTTCGTTACTCAATAATGCTTCGAGACATCTCGGTACGGTTTAAATTGAGGTTATACCTTCATTCGAAACTTCCTTTCGTTTCTTCAATTCCTTACTTCACCTCGATTCTTGTAGAGAAGGTAAAAAATGGCCATGATGCCCGTTCCACAGTTATTTCAGTACCCTTGCCATCTAACGGCGGTGTATTGAAACCGCTCCTCGCTTAGCACGTATGACACGTATAGACTACGGCTTCCATTACATTGGTGGATATTGGTACTCTCTGCTACTCTTTGTTCATTGCTTTCAGTTCTGCGGCATGTGACTTTCGTCATGTGAGCGGGTGACCGGATCGCGGATCACTTATTTGAACCTTGCAAGTGTTACGAACACTTACGAGTGCTCCGGCGAATACAGATTGAGAGTGATCGGAGATGGAAGTCAAGTCAAAATTAAATACCGTGCCAGCTTGGGTCGAACTCCAGACATACTTTGACAAGAATGGAGTACAAATAAATATTAACGAACTGTTTCACCAAAATCCAAACCGCTTCGAGAAATTCAGGTGATCAATGCCTCTTTCTCTTGTCCTTGAATTGACCTTCCGAAGGGCGCGAAATAATGTCACTTAAAATAATTCGAGGTTTATAAACGTTGATAATTTCTTTAGTACACGTGGAAATACTGTACCATCAATAAACATTGTTTATTAGATTCAAATCATTATATCGTACATTAAACGGAAGCATTGCCTTGAACCTTGATTGCATCATTGCAAATATTAAAATTTTATTTTACCGTATCATTTTTCTGCATAAAGCCTATTTAAACGATGTAGAGCTTTCTTTATAATTACCTTGATAACCTGTTAATGTACTACATATAATGATACTCCATGATACAGTTTAACATTGGAGACACCAAATGATGGATCAATCTTGCTCGATTACTCTAAAAATCGAATTACCGAGGAAGCGTTAAACCTCTTAATTAAATTGGTGAGTACGATAGATATTGCATCAGACTCATGTTATTACATATTATTAAAATTAAAAATGGATTCTATTTTCTTGAAAACTTATAAATGCTTCTGTAGGCAACTGCACGGCAAATAGAACAGGCAAGAGATGCAATGTTTTCGGGACAGAAAATTAATTTTACTGAGAATAGAGCCGTTTTACATACAGCTTTACGTAACAGAAGTAATAAACCTATATTGGTCGATGGCAAAGATGTTATGCCGGATATCAATGCTGTATTGGAACATATGAAACAATTTACCAATCAGGTATGTTAATTCTTTGACAAATTATTAAAGTTTCAATTTTTATATTGTATTGCGTGAATAGGTCATAACGAAAGAGTGGAAAGGCTTTACCGGTAAGCCAATTGAAGATGTCGTCAATATTGGTATTGGAGGCTCCGATTTGGTAAGATAGCTGATTTTTTTAAGAACGATATTAAAATATAAATACAAAATGAAAATGATTAAAAGAAAATTTCTTCAGGGACCCTTGATGGTAACCGAAGCCTTGAAACCCTATCATATTGGTCCAAGGGTTCATTTTGTCAGCAATATAGATGGAACTCACATTGCAGAAACTTTGAAAAAACTAAATCCAGAGACAGCTCTTTTCATAATAGCATCAAAGACCTTTACCACTCAGGAGACTATTACCAATGCTACATCAGCCAAACTATGGCTTTTGGAACATTTAAAAAGCGTTAGTACATGGTGAACTAAAATCTGATTTTTTGTGCTCGAGGAAATTGCTTGTTATAAATATATTTCTTTCTCAATAGGAAGCTGCAGTTGCATCACATTTTGTAGCTTTATCCACTAATACACAGAAAGTCAAAGAGTTTGGTATCGATGAAAAAAATATGTTTGGATTCTGGGACTGGGTAGGAGGTCGATATTCATTATGGTCTGCAATTGGTCTGTCAATATCGTTATCAATTGGTTTTGACAATTTCGAAAAGCTACTAAGTGGTGCTTATTTTATGGATCAACATTTTTGCAGTGCTCCTTTAGAAAAAAATGTTAGTACTTCAATTAAAAGGTATTCTCCATATTTGGGTGTTCAGTAATTGATTAAAATAATTTTGGTTCCATAGGCTCCAGTTATTCTTGCATTATTAGGGGTCTGGTACCATAACTTTTATAAGGCTGAAACTCATGCGTTATTACCATACGATCAATACTTACATAGATTTGCAGCTTATTTCCAACAAGGTGACATGGAGAGTAATGGAAAATATGTTACTCGTTCTGGTGAAACTGTAAATTACTCAACTGGTACGTAAAGTCTTCAGATATTGCATCCCCCTTCTGCTTAATTTAAAGAATCACGCTGCAATTTTCTTTGTTTATTCTTTGTATTTAAGGCCCGATTGTGTGGGGAGAGCCTGGAACTAATGGTCAGCATGCATTCTATCAATTAATTCATCAAGGCACAAGACTAATTCCAGCAGATTTCATTGCTCCTGTCTTGTCACACAATAAAGTAAAAAGAAAAGATTCGTCCCAATGTTTTTATAAAAACTAAATAGAATGTGAATTAAACTTTTCTCATATCTAACAACAGGTTCAAGGAACATTACATCATAAGATTCTTCTTGCAAATTTTTTGGCTCAAACTGAAGCTTTGATGAAGGGAAAAAATCAAGAGCAAGCCAAAGATGAACTACAAAAATCAGGATTAAGCCCTGAGCAAGTAAATGCATTGTTACCTCATAAGGTATTTGAAGGAAATCGACCCACAAACAGTATTATTGTTAAAGCTGTTACTCCATTTACTCTCGGAGCATTGATCGGTAAATTCTCCCTAATGCTATTAATATGTATTACATGTATTAATGGTGTTGTATACTGTCATTAACTTTTAATGTTTTATTTTATTACAGCTATGTATGAACATAAAATCTTTGTGCAAGGAATAATCTGGGACATTAATTCGTTCGATCAATGGGGGTAAGTAACAGTTACAAACCTATTTTTGCCATTAGTTAGTTTACCTTTGTGAGTTGAACTATATTTCATACAACAAAGAAAATGGTTTTTCTACAATTGCATGAAGGAAATTGATATGGGATATTTAATGAATTTTTATTCTTATATGCAGCGTGGAATTAGGCAAGCAATTGGCCAAAGCCATTGAACCTGAATTGAACAACAATGATGTTATCACCAGTCATGATTCTTCTACAAATGGATTAATCGCGTTTATTAAAGCTAATAGTTCATAAGTATATTTTTCATTCATTAGCAATGATTTTGGAAAAGAGCTATCAACGAAGATATTACCATTGTTGTATCATGACCGATCCGTTACATCCCTGGCCCCTTCCACAAATGGCCTAGTCTCTTTTATGAAAACTCGAACTTGCATGTGCCCTGCAAAGTTTTGTGACTCCATGGAACCAGAACCAAATTTATTTTGACCTGTCCTGTCACCCTGTGTACTCGTAAAGTGACCTAATTGTCATACTATATTTTATGTACTATATATAAATGTAGACATTCGTATATTATTTACATATAATTAGTGAGTATTAAATTATATCCGTGTCTATTTTGTCTATGTAAACGTTTACAAAGTGTTGTCATAGTAACAGTAATTTTAAAAAATGAAGCTCGAACAAATTTGTTCTTAGATATTTACTTAAATTTAATGATTAAGTGTGATAATTTTTGCTTTACCTATTTGTTCGGTGTATTCAGTTTATACATGACTTTTTATATGTTTCTTGAGTATGTTATCCATTTTGTAAGTCTTTTCAAACTGAATATTTATATTAAACCATTTAATGTATAAATGGATCCTATAGTGATGATAAAAAATCATGAAATCATTATTTCAGACTATTTTATTTTAACAATCTGGAAAATATTCTGACCTTAATTAATATTTATACCTGTAATTAAAGTCCAGTGGTTCCAAGTGAATTATTTATTCGTAATGATTAATTCATTTTTGTTTGCGTAAACTGTCTGATCTGTAAGCATGTGCTGAATACAATTGATACAATATACCATTTTTTTTTTGTATCTCCTGCCAGGCGTAACGTCGCAGTCGGTCGCAATGCCGCGCAAAAGTGGCGCGTTCCAGTTTTATCAAAGATGCGAGACTAGACTCATCATACATATGCATGTATGTATATTTTCTTGTAAACTGGATTGAGTGCAACCGCCAGAAGCTTGTCACCTCGATAAAAGAGTTCTACCTTTCACGTATAAACGAGAGTTATCATCACTGTGCAAAGATTAGTCACTCGATCTTTGTATTTTGATTGATAAAATAGGGGGGTGTGGTTGCCAGTGCTGTGACGTTTCGTCTCCGATCGAAATTGAAAAATGGAGTGCCTCATTGACCGCTACAAAGTTTTCGAGGGAAAAATACTGCAAAACCTAAGATCCAACGGTATAATTCATCGGTACGTTAATGATTAATTTCCATATTTTTGATTATTCCAACACGACCTAACCTAGAATGGAAACATTTACTCTTTTGTCCCGTGTTATTTTTAAACCGGAACTCATTGTATTGTTTTCGTTTCGTTCAGAAGCGATGATCAATCATTAATAATTTTAATTTAGAGAATTAACTGTTTTCCCTTTGAGTTGATTCTGCATTACTTCGGTGCAACGTGTAAATCACAATCTTCTAAACTCAAGATAATTGCTGCAGTTGTAATTTCTCGTCGTATCATGCAGACAATTACTAACTATGAACAACAATTTTTATTTTTAGAAAAGACAGTAGTTCTGGACTATGGCTGGGCTCGCTAGCAGCGATCAGTACCATGGTTACTGTCCTGGGAGAAGAAAACAGTTACTCCGAAGTTTGTTTACTTTTAGGAATTACAGGGCTGGGTTTGATTATCAGTTGTGCATGTCTTTACACCCGATTGTCGATGAACATGAAAATGGTCAAAGATTTTCAATTGGTTTACTTTTTACCATCGATGATAACATCTATGATGTATGTTATTTTAGGGAATAAAGGTACGTCATCCTTTGGTCATTTTCAATTTGTCTTTATTGTTTTATCTCAGTCGATAAAATGATAATTGAGTTCTAGTTGCATTTTGATGTTTAATAAAAATAAATATAATTTTTAATTAAGTGCAGGATTACTAACAAGTGTGTTATGGGGCTTAAGTGTCGGTACACTCAGTACGTGGGGTGTTGTGCAAGCAATGTCACTGTTCCCTGGATGTTTTACTCTTGGGGAAGCAACGGTTGTTACTCACGGGTGCATTTTGTTTTTACTTTCTGCTGCATCCAACTTACCATTTAGATATCACCTGCCACCAATTCACGACGACGATGTGGCTACTGTAGTCTTACAAGTAAGTCCCAGAGATGATTATCGATCTCTATAGACAACTGGACTTAGGTGTTACCATTATAACTTGAATTCCATCGTTATTATGACACAGGTAGGAGGTTTGTTTGTTATGATGCTTTGCTTGATGACCAGATATTTTTCTAAACTACGTTCCTCCAAGAACTTTTACGTGACAACGTTGAGTATGGTACTACTTGTTGTACTACCAGTGCTGTACAATTTACTAGATCAAAATGCAATTTTTTGGGTACTCACCTTTGCTTTTGGCGATATGAGAAGAGTGAGTAAATTATACAATATTTAACAATTGTAAAATTTGTGTACTATTATATATTATGAGTAATAGATAAATTATGGTTAAAACTATTTCAGGTATTTATGATAGTGTATTGGGCACTATGTTTATTGTTGGGAATTAGCGCAATAACATATAGAATTCTTTCAAATATTCATGCTTCGACATCGGCAAGAAAATCTTTTCACCTGTTGGCAGTGGCAGTTTATATTCCAGGATTAATAATGGAACCGACATTACTTTATTTAGCAAGTGGTGTAATAATGGCCTTGTTCGTGTTACTCGAAGTAAGCATATTGTCAATGTTCAATGTAGGAAAGTTGAAGTCGTTTTGTCGTACACGTAAATATTAGTGATGCTCTAATATTAATCATTAAATATTAATTTTAGTTGATGAGAATCTTGAATCTGCCACCTTTAGGAGAACTCTTGCAAGAAGGCTTCTGTTCATTTGTCGATGAAAAAGATTCAATAGTGGCATTGACTCCACTTTACCTTTTGAGTGGATTGTCCTTTCCATTGTGGATGCCTACAGATAATCTCGAGCTGCTGCCTCTACTGAGTGGAGTATTAACAGTAGGTGTAGGTGACACTGCAGCTAGTACGATTGGCTATAAATGGGGTAAACATAAGTGGCCGGGTTCACATAAATCATTCGAAGGAACAGCAGCTTGCATCATCAGTCAGTTAATTTTAATATACGGATTGCTATGGTTTGGTAAGTTACTTTTCTTAAAACAGTATTATTCAAAGTATGTGGTCGTTTTCATGAACGGTGGATACTAATATTTGTGCAGGATTCATCCCAAGTGGATGGTATCTGCTTCGAACCATATTGGTAGTGATCGGAACCTCACTAGTCGAAGCGAGAACTGACCAAGTGGATAACTTGGCTTTACCCTTAATAATGTATATCGCCCTCAGGATATAACGTAGTGCGGTTTTTATTAACCTACCAGTACAAACTATACCGCGGAGTCTGAGGATCGGTTAATGTACCAATGTTTGATATTCGTGTCTCCGAAACGTTCTAGCGAATATACCTCAAAGTGATTGGCATGTACCTGAAGTCTAAGCCTTACGAGAATTGACTAAACCGAAAAGGAGTGCCAGTGATAAGAGGATAGTATACACACTACTGCTCTTATGACAAGTACTTTAATTAAATCTACGCTTGTTCATCCTCAACTAGGATTGATTTTCAGTCCTCTTTATCGGAAACGACACGAGCTTTAAATAATGTCCTCCCCAATTCTGCCGAAGAATCGTGACTCGATTACGCTCCACAAGATGTGTATTTATATTACAATAATTATGTCTGTATCTTGTCGTTGATACTTTGAAGGCGACGGTCGAATAGTCAATGTACTTGTCAATTACTGTATGGAAATTCAATGGACAATTATCTTGGTGAAAAGTCCCTAGGTATGTAATAGGTCTTTAGCATAAGTACATTTTGAAACACTTCGAAATTGAAGTGTGTCACTGTATATTATGAAAGTGGAAAATGATCGGGTGTTTTATGAGTCTTTCAGGTATTTATGATGTAATAATAGTTATTTATTATATTATGAAAATCATGTTTACCTAGCTTCTACCACATTTTGCTGTGAGCGTTGCGGTAAGCATTACAGAGGAGCATACCGTGCGTTATATATATTACATTCTTATACTTCGACTTTGCATTCCCATTGATGCACTTTTCTATGACACCTGACACGTCGCACGGTATTTGATGTAATGTTTATTTAAATAAAATATTTTTGTACCTATATTAATCGTTTTAGGTAGCTTCTCTTATTTCGTCGATAATCGATTCAAATGTTCGAATATACCGTCTCGGTCATTCTATTTATTCTACATTGCAAGGCTTGAAAAAAGAAATTCATTAGCGTTTTTCAATATTTTATTGAATGCACAGCCTTAAAATCTGTTTCACACACAGCACGCAGTATGCCTTTTCATTTCGAACGGGTCGAAGTAAAATGTATGAAAAAACATGATTAAGTCGCTAGCTGAAATATTTTCGCCGAACGTCGAGCGTGTCATACTTTGAAGCTGAACGGCTTAACGATGTCTTTTAACTGTTCATTCTGACAATAAATATATATATATATATATATTACAGCGAATCCCTCGTTTCCACGAAGTTCTAACTTGGGGAAAACTACATTTTTCCAAGTCGCTCTTCGTACAAACGAAGGAAGAAGCATGATTTTACTACGTTACTACTTATAATAATCGTTTCATTAGATCGTTAATGTCTTGTATAGGAATTAAATAAATATCGTGACACTCTCGATTACAATTTTCGTTAATTGAGTTGTGTTCGTTAAACGATATCGTTAATATTCGGTGTATCCCTCGAGTCTTCGTGTGATATTGTGATACATCGTGTACTTTCGATTAGTATTTGGTGTCCGTAATTACCATATCGTCGGGTCGCAAGAACTCCGATATCGATCCATTATCACTGTCATTCGTTGCCGCGGTTCGCATGCGACTTGTTGCGAGTTTCCTAAGTTATTCCTTTTCGGAAAAAGAAATTGCTTGTAAAATCGAGAGCGAGTTGATTGAAAGAAAATAAAGGAAAACGGTCATTTAACGCGAACATCTTCAGTACCATTGCTAAGCGTTGGGAGATTATTTACGAATACGACGGTATTAAAAAATTGTGACAGTCACAGATGAGCACATGAATTAGAGCAATGATTCTCCGCTACGAATTCTTATTTAAGTTACGTAGGTCTAATACTGAACGTGTGAAAGTAATTTAAATTATTCCACCGCAAACGGAAATTAATTTGAAGTCAGGCGAATTAAATGCATCATTGAAGGTAGAACAATGAGGCGGATCTGAGGCGTGCAACATCACTTTTGTTAAAAACTATGCCAAAAGGCTGGGCATCGCGCGATGATACGATTACGACGAAACGAGACGTTAATCGAGCCGTCCTCGCAGATTAGTAACCTTCGGTGTTCCTTTTTAGTTTTCAAGCCATGATTAGGTCAGAGATAAATAAAGATAGCTCCTCGTAATTATTCCCGACATATCAATTACATATATACAATCATGAGATAGGGCTTAATCAGCTCGTATCCTCAATCGCGATCGACCGGATACTCTTCCGAGTTTCGCGAGACCCTTCCCTAGAAAACTGGTAATTAGTCCTGCCTTTGCCGTCGTGCTTCCTCGAAACTTCAACAACGCAAATCTAGATGGAAGCTTCGAGAAACGATTTCTTCCGTTTTCCTCTCCAGGTTCTTCCGAACGCTCGCAAATGCAGGTCTAGTTCAAATGAGTTCTCCGGGAGCTTTCTATCTCTATTTTCGAATTTCTCAGAAGCCTACGACAACGAGCGCTGACGAGAAACTAAACGAATCGTTCCTATACACCGCTAAATTAATTTAACGCGTGAATCATTCCGTCCATCCACCGGTGAATGACAATTTGACGTGCCAAAAAAGTGAAGTAGTAGTCATTCCCTGGTGCACCTGTTCGTTCTCCCTAAAATTATTTAACACCCAGAAAATGCTTGAACGTTCTCAAACTGCCGATTCTCCCGACCTAACGTATACTCTCTGTATGTCTTTCCGCAATTTCTCCATTTGGGATATCGACTGGATGCGCATCCGCGAGCATTGCGAAAACTACCCCTTTTAACGCATCGCCGATCGCGCAAAAAGCACGAAAGTATAACAACGAAACCAACTGCTTTCAAGCAACGAGCTAACGGGAGGTAATTCGCATTTGAATCATCCGACCGCCTTGCAGAAAAGAGTGGGTTTCCTCGACGCTATTTCGCAGGGTGTCGGTACCCTGCCACCTGGGAAAAACGGCTTCGGCTCGCGTTTTTCCTAATACTAAACCGAACCTCGGAGGTGATCGCCCCCGAGGTCCAAATAAATCCGTCGACGATTCGATCCGCCTTCGATTCTTCGATCGTTAGGATCCAGGACCAATTGTGCCTATTTTCAAATTTTGCAATTCGGCAATGGCCCCCTGGATGATCCAGAGCCTCCGGGAGGTGCTTCGAGACAGATTTGATTTTCCTTATCGCGTCCATTTAGAAGGTGCGCTTTCTTCGCTTCGATCATAATTCGATCGAACGTAGCCAATTGCACCGCTTCTTGAATTCCAGAGTCGGCGAAAAAAATTTCTTCGCTCGATTTCCTCGAGAACTTGGTCTTTTGCCTCTTCTTTGTGAACGTTCTTTTGTCGTCGCTTCTTCTTCGCGATGTTCCCACCTGATTCTTATGCCTATTCGCTTCGATCTTGTCGTAATTGGTGCATCTCTTCTCGAGTTTCAGACCTTGTAAAAATACTCCCCGAAAACGTCCGCCAAGGACTCCCTCTTCGTCTTCCTCCCAGAAAGTGCGTTCCCCTCTTCGTGGATCTGCTCGAGCCTGGATGCACCACTCGCTTCAAGCCTAATATGCATTTGAGTTAATGATTTTACAAAACTGACACTCTATGTATTACGCTTCTATAGGGTCACGAAGGTCGAGGGTCGTTGGGAAAGATTTTTCGACGAGAAAGGGCGGGTTTTGGGAGGAATCTTGGAAAATAGGGCTCGAGAGCTAGGACGGGTTACTCCCTTAATTTGTGCCAATCAGCGATCTGCCGACGAGGCGAGCTGCACACTTCGTTCCAATGGTTCAACGCCGAACCTTCGCTCTTCGAACCTCCGAGCTCGAGCCGACCGATCACCTGTAATCGATATCGAACCGAATCGTATTCCACCGATGCGGGGTAATATTTTGATTAATTTTAGCTCCTCCTACCTCGTTCTTCGTAACCCGATCCCAGTCCAGGAGGATGAACTCCAAACTGATGTTGCCGAGTTCCTCTGCTCCGTTCGGTATCTCAAAGACGAAAGACTCGTTGAAGACCGGGCTGAGGGTGCGCTTCTTCACGTGGGTCTTCTTTTTAGCGATGCGTTGCGAATAGTAGAGCAGGTAAATCTTTACGTAAGGATCCGCCAGTCCCGTCACATCCATTTTAGGTAGATTCCGTGCTTTCAGAACCACCACCGTCAGTCGACTCGCGGCAGGCTGCCAGCAAAGGGATACCAACAGTTCTCCCCTGCTCTGCGATTGAATCTGGAAAAGGCACGTTTCGAGTCACTGTCGTCACTGTTGGCCATTCCATTTTAATTAACGAATGCCTCTTGAACTTTCGGAACCTACCTTGAAGCTCCTCGGACAAATTTCTCGGCAAAGAGATATCTGCTGATTATCGGCCACCTCCAAACCGTTCACCGAGGACAAGGCGCACACCACCTCGCCGATCATGTCATCCCGCGAGTATCTGTCGAAACTCAGCACCACGAAGTGTAGACTGATTTTCTGCAAGGATCCGATAACGACCAGGTACATATGCACGTTTTCGGCTTTAAATCAATGATTCGCGACTCTCGAAGATTTCCCTAAAAGATACCTGTAGCTGGGTCTGGGAGATCCCGAAGAAGGTGAAGTCCTCGTCGTACACCGGGTCCCTGGTGTTCCGCAGGACCCTGGTCTTGACCCAGTGCTGTTTGTCGGGCAGAAGCTGAAGCTTGACGTAGGGATCGCTCGTGGCGTTCTGTTGGCCCCTCGCGGGGAGTCCCTTGCACTTGACGACGGTGACCACCAAGGCGTTCTGGTCGGCCCTGTATCGCAGCTTGAAGACCAGCTGGCCCAGCTCGTCCTTGCCCGGGTCCCCGGAGGTGCCTTTGTCGACCTTCTCGCTGTTCTCGATCTCGGCCTTGTCGCGTTCGTTCTCGATGCTCAGGGTGATCTCTCCGGGTGGGGTTTGCGCGGGGGTGCCGGATCCTTGAGGCGTTCGCGGCTGCGAGGGTGGATTATTCGACTGTTGCGAAGGCTGCGAAGGCTGCGAGCCCGTGGGACTCGGAGTCTGCCCCCCCGATCCCGGGGGACTCTTCCCCGGTCCGGTCGGACTGGGACTCTTTTTCAAATAGTGACTCGTGCTTCCAGGACATTTCACTGCCGTTGGTTTCCGATGGGGTGGTCTAAATGCCAAGGACTTGTCCGAATTCAGCTTGGTGTGCTCTCTTCGTCGACGGCATAGCCACCAAGTCATCGCTGCCACGCACACCAGGAAGGCCAACCCGATGGACACCCCGACCAGAGCCGCCGTGGACACTGAAAGGATCGAGAAGGTATTTTTTCGTCAACGTTTCATGGACGTTAGCCAAGTACTCGTCTCGTCGAGCGACGATCAGGGGGATAATTGCCTAGGGTTCCTTTCAAAGGTAGGACCGATTTCGGGAATCCGTTCTCCGAGTTCTTTAACCGTCTTTCCTTTTTCCCGTTCGTTGCACTTGGCGCATGACGTGGCGGAGGGTGTCACCTCGCATGGCTCGGTCAAACATATGGGCTCACCCATTATGGAGGAAGATCGAAGGAAATTCAAATGCGCTCCCTTTCCCATGAATTTCTGGGGAACGGGAGACTCGCCTCGAAGGACGCCTCGACTAAATCATGAAAAATTCATCGCGCCGCTGGAAGTATCCGTCCGAGATGCGAGCGACCGAGCAAATGATACGTATCGTCCTCTAATGACTCGATCTTTAGTGATAACTATCGATGGCAACGTCTTTGATTTTCGATTATATTCTTTTCCCATTTTTATTCCCCAAGGAGAGCTCGCAAGAACGTCCGGATCCTTCGTGGATCGATGCGTCTTCCCGATTCGTCGGCTAGGCATTTCTGGAACCCCGAAAAAGCTTTTGGAAGGACGAGTTCTTGCGGTACTCACCGGACTCCACGGGTCGGATGAGCGGGCCATCTTCGAGAGTACCCTCGACCATGTTTGGCCGCTATTTTCCGTGGTGACCCTGTATCCAGGAGCGGTTTTGGATGCCTTGCACTCTCGGTGATATTTACAGCGTGTACTCGCTGACTCTCCGTCGAGAACACGCACGGAAACCCGATCAATAGGTCCGAGTATGCGCGCGACTTCTTGCCGAAGGAGAGCGCAAGAGGTCGCGGGTTGTTCCGGGGCCTGCTTTAAGATTTTTTCAATTATTAAGATTTCCACCTTTTCGAAACGCTGCTCCCATCGATCGGGATAGTTCATTGGCGTTTCGAGGGAATTTTGACGTACGCGTCACCCATGGCAAGTAGTTACGGAAAAGCGGCCCGAATGAAAAGCTCCCTTTGAATTATCGATCTAAGTCCATTGTGAACTGTATTGAAATGATTTACCGAATTTAAGTGTAATCGGAAATGCAAGGTATCCGGCCGTCCCAAAGCCCTGTACATAGTTAATTTATTAATCTAAAAATAGCGACCAAAGGAAGGGAAGCATACTTTATGACATTATCATTCGTTAGGCCGACAAACCGATTTTCGCACTTTGGCGAATCAAGAGCTGCCGAGAGCTAATGACGGAAATGACGGAATGATTCTCCCCCACACTGTGCCGCGTCGCAATGAATCGCGTATTTCACTTCGATTAAAAATGTTCGGAAATTTTCTCTTCACGTTTCAAGGTGTTATGTCACATCGGACGTGTTTTTTTCTTTATATTAATCAATGATATCACCGCCTTTAAAGTATTCAAAGTATTCCCTTCGACTTCCGCGCCACTTCTTCTAACTACACGGCGATCTTCGTTCCTGTATAGTGACTCTTCTCTTAATCCGTGTTCCTACTAGATAGCCCTATCGTCTGTGCCCTTTATTTTTAACTTCTTTGCAGCGATGATTCAAAGAAGTGTGAAGTGTCACCGCCCTACTAGTTGTTGGTTCGTCTTTGCTCGCGTGTGATTAGATAGAAGCGATCCAGAGAAAATTCAAGAGAGGACAACATGGGGCTAAAGGATTTCAAAATCGTTTTTGATAACCCATGGAACACTTACTATGGAGGTCAGACGGTTACGGGCCGTATTGTTGTAGTTTTGGATAGTCCAAAAAGAATCCGCAGTAAGTCTATGTAAGAAAAAATCGTACCGGTGGACGTATTTAATCTCTTTTTATTGAAGTTACAAAAATATGCTCTTCCATCGAGATGTCATTGTCATAACATATTTGATCGATTGAGTTTTTAATTGTTTGTAGATATACATGTGAAGATAGTTGGGCAAGCCAATACTTGCTGGTCGTCGGATAAACAAGAGCAGAATAATGAAGGAAGGTACGAAAACGAGACGCAAACGGTTTCTGCTCACGAAGAGTATTTCAGTATGAAGTACTATGTAGTTGGATCAGCTTCTGGTAATATATACAGTGATTCATTGTTTTGGCAGTCTATTACACTATTTATTTTCTGTTTTATAGATAGTGAAATCGATTTGCCCATTGGAGAACACGTGTATCCTTTTACGTGCTCTCTTCCTGTAAACATACCTAGCAGTTTCGAGTCCCATTATGGTCACATACGATATACGGTTAAGGCTATTATGGACCGTCCTTGGAAGTTTGATCATGAAGTCAAGACTGCTTTCACAGTTATCTCCATGCTTAATTTAAACGAAGAACCCGGAGCTGCAGTAAGTTTGTTTAAAAAGTTTACAGCTCGTTGTATTGTACTGAATTTTTATAGGAACCTGTGCAAATAGAGCTGAGTAAAACATTTTGCTGCTTATGCTGTGGCACGGCTCCTTTAAATGTAAATGTATCCTTGCCAGTGCGTGGGTACGTACCGGGACAATCTATCCCTGTCAAAGTCAACGTTGAGAATTTCTCTGGTGTAACAGTAGATAGTATAAACCTCATTCTTCGTAAGGTAAGAAAAAATTGAGGAGCTTATAAATAATTGCTTAAAAACATAAAGTATATCATTGTATTAATTTTTATAGATAATTACATTTCATGCTAATTCTCCACGTTCAGAAACAAAGAAGGATAAAATAGTAGTAACGCAAGTGAGCAAAGGCCCTGTTGAAGGAGGTGGAACTGCAGATTATGTGCAGAACCTTGACATTCCGCCTGTTCCACCTTCCAATTTAAAATACTGCGGTATAATTGATTTAGTGTATAATCTGAAAATTGAAGCACATGTTTCTGGATGGTAAGATTTTTATTGAAAGTAATTTTCCTTTGATATTGCTACTGTACTATTCTTATAATTTTTACAGGTACCATCTTAATTTAAAAGGCAGCACTCTAATCTATATTGGGACAGTCCCATTAATAAACTATCAAACTCCAATCGCTCCTCCAATAGAAGATTACCCAACTAAACCAACAGACTATCCACCGGAACAACCTGTGTTACCAAGTGCACCACCAGCACCATCTACAAATCTATATCCTGAATTACGTAAGCATATATTTGCAAGGCATTTTATTGGAAAACTGTGCTAACCACATAATTTATGCTTATATTTTCATTGTTCTAAAATTTCAGCTCCACCATCTTATGAGGAGTCAATGTATGGTGCAAAAAGCCTTAGAGACCGAAATGAATCTGAACACATGTTAGGAATTATGAGTCATTTCGCTCCTAGGTATCCTGTGTATAAATTTACACCCCCGCAGTAATGTATTCAGATCCGCATTTTATTATTTTTCACATGGGAGCAAACATTGTATGTAGAAGTACGTGTTGCTAAAGTTGCCTTGCTCAACCTTGATGTATTCCCTGTACTCCAGGAATGTACTGCATTTTTAGCAGCAAAGGTTTATGTCTTTCACGATATAGTAGTTTAAAATTCTATAATTTTGATAACATGTAATGTGGTTTTTTTATGAAGCTTTCATAAGGCTTTTACTAACAAAATAAAGTGTCATGCGAGAATGATACGTATCCAAATCTTTGACTGTCCTCATATTGTTTGTGGTGAATGCATAATGTTACATGGTAGGAAGGTAAAGTCCCGCCGAAGGATTCGGGATTTACAGTCAGATTCTATCTCTGATCTAATTTAAATTTGTATCTACTTATAAGCTTTCACTCTAGGAAATAGATTCGCATTAAAATTTGTAGACTAGTACCTTTTAAAATGTACCAAAAATTCGACCGTACGTAGAAAGTGCATTTGATAAGTGCGTGTTAGATAACATGCGTGCTGATTAAGTAATTCACAATTTTTTTTCTTCCGTGCGTAACCCGAGCCTACGTTAGTTTTCACTGATACGTAATGTGCGTAAATGCTTCCTTGTACCGTTATGTCAATAGTGAAAGCTGCACTTTCTCATTTTAGTTTCCATTTATTTTTTTTTTTACTCTTGGGTACAATATTGACAAAATAATTGAATAAGTAATTGGATCAATGAATGGAGCAAACTTATACATTTTTAAATAGGAAGGGAAAAAAGTGATTGAAAAATGAAACATACTTTTCTTCTAATTTATTAGTTTGTTTAATCATTTTTTAGAATTAGTTTTTCATAGTTGCACTTCTGCATCAAAAACTATTCAGTCTATACAACATCCATGCACCTGATAGGACATGATTTGTCAAAACATTCTGTGAACACACCATGCCACAAACATTTCATACCTTTCCTATAATTGTAGGCACTTATTAACAATATTGCATAGATAAATATACGTTAAAACGTATCTTTAGTACAGATATATCTCTTAAGCTGGCATGGTAAAGAGTGGATAAAACAAATATAAGGTTTGCAGTTAAAAGAGTGACTCAGTATGTACATAATATTATATCCACTTTGAAATGATTCAGTCCTATATCCTTCGTTGATAGAAATTCACCTATAAATGGGCACTGCCCATTTATGATACGTTGTACAGCTGGATTCTAGTGTTATTCGTTACTTCCCGGAAATTACAAACGGGTTTGCTAAGATCTTGCATCATTTATCGTTGCTGGTACTCTTACTTCGAGTCCGTCGAGTTCTTTTGTCATCGTTATCTGACATCCCAATCTGGACCTACAGTTACAAATAGCAAACTTATATAAGATGACTGCTTTAAATATAATCAATAACTTGAAACAATATCTGTTAGCTTATTAAATGATTACATAATTATAAAGTGATATATATTACTGGTACCAGTCTTACGTTTCTGTGAGGTCATATGCCAAGTCAAGCATGTCCATTTCCTCTAAAGTTGGTTTCTCTGGAAGCGAGTCATATACTTCTTTTGGAAATATTAAGTGACAAGTACTGCATGTTAAGGTACCTTCGCATGCACCTGATAACAAAAAAATTCTATAATATATATTCTGTTATGAACATGCTTAGTGCAATACTATAGAGATATTTATGATAATACACTAAAGATATAAACATATACTTCAACGTACCATAGCCATCCAAGTCGACGCTGTTATTAACAACAATGTCGAGTAAAGTGTCTCCAACTTTACCCTTTGCCTCGATTCGTTCCCCATTAGTCCTAACAAATGTAACTGTCACTCTGAAGGATAAATCATGGTATGTCAGAATTTGCAAGTGCATAACTGTATACATACTATGGATTACATGTATGACTTACTCTTGTTTTTGACAAAGAGGTTGCATCGTGGAGGTTGTTCGGACGAGAGGGGCAACGGAACTCTCAGCATTGATAGCTCGAGACACGTTTTTAAAAGGCGGAAATAAGACCTTTTCGGATATAGTACGTAATCCACGAATCAATGCCATTCTATACTTGACTATCCGTGATCCTGTCTATAAAAGTATATTCCGATGGTTCATGTATTTATTCCTAATATTAACTCTTCAATTAAATTTTTGATTTCTTGTTCGAAGAAATACTTTCAATCATGCTGTGTGTCAAGGACTTAATTTTGTACGGATACCAGGTGTTTTGATAATTTTGACGTATAAAATAACCCTTGTGCACTTCCACGGAACAACCCGTGCAACGAGCGCTTCCAGACTGTTGCAGTCAGTGCGGTCAGTGCTGCCAGAAACACTTGTTATAAAAATCCCTTATGCAAACCCCCCACCATGGTCCAAAAATCAAGAGGATATGTGCACAGGCACTGAATTTCCTGTCGAATAGCCTCACGCGAATCATCTGACATTTTCACCACGATGAAAGTTCTGTAATACCGCGAGCTGCTCATTTTTCATATTTTCACTTAATCTACCATACGTAATAGACCCCCCCTGGTAATACATGCCGAAGCTTCACTTTGTCATATCTCCATGGAACTCTAGGAAAGCTTGAACTCATCGGCGCAGGTTAGAAGTCGGAGGAAACATCAACATGGGTAACTTGAAAATAAATGTTGAATAATTATCACGAGAAATGAATTTCAAAATCTCGCATTTTTGCGGCCAGTGATAACCTGATTAGAGAGACGATCGCAGCACGTAAATGCCTCTGGTTGCAAGGAACTGTACGCATATAGGAAACCACGGTGATCTCTCGTTCGTCGAGTCCGTGGTTTCTCAGAAGGAGAAATTTGGCAAATGTAGCGTTTGCAACAGCGAAGGTCCAAATTTGTGGGTATGTCTTTTCTCCGAATGTCGCTGGGTCGGCTGTTCCAGGCACCTCGTTCACAACCCTGGCCAGTACGCTGTGTTTTCGACACACTGTGTACATATGAATCTTACTACAAATCATATTTGGTGTCACACGTGCGAAAAGGAAGTTATTGCCAGGCACATCCCATCTCCTCCGGTGTCGCCGACTCAAGTTGACCTGAAATCTGGTAATATGTTTGCTGGAGATGCATCGGTCAACATAGATTGCAAGATCGATAATTCGGAGGTACAACAGTCCTCAAGCAATAGGTAGGCGATATGGTAACGAGTGGACAGGTTTGTGTAATATGGCAATATAATACCGTTCTTTCTTGTAGATATAATAGAGCAATTGTAAATAGAGTTGGAATGGAGAAAGGTACAACGATACACGAAAAGGCTGGAGATTCTCCAGATAGTACCGATTCGGATGAGTGCAAGGATTTTACGGGAAAACCACGTGGCTTGGTCGGTCTTCAGAATATTGGAAATACCTGTTACATGAATGCCGCTCTTCAAGCACTGTCCAATGTACCTCCATTAACGCACTTCTTTTTGGATTGTGGACTTATGGTCAGCTACATAGCAAAAGATCGCAAGCCTGGACTGAGCTTGAACTACCTTAATTTAATTAAGGATATTTGGAACAGGAAAACCAGAGGATACGTAGTTCCACATGGCATTTTGTATGGCATCAGGACCGTTCATCCAATGTTCAGAGGTTACCATCAACATGACACCCAAGAATTCTTAAGATGTTTCATGGATCAATTACACGAGGAGTTAAAGGAGCACATCGAGGATGACCGAGATATTCTTTTGAGGTTAAAGGGTTTAGGAGATCATTCTTCCGACGAGGATGAAACCGAGATCGATGGAAATGGCTCCAGTCAATCTGATGCCGAATATGAAACGTGTGACTCAGGAGTAAGCGAGCAAAGCTCTTTAAGCGACGAAGGTGAGAGAGGTACAAAGAGAAAATATTCACGGGTGTTGCAGGCAGAAAAGTCAAGGAGTATGTTCACTAGTAGAAATATAAAAAAATCGTCAATTGAAGAAACTTTTACGCAGCAACAGCGGTCCACGCAAAACTCACCGGTAAAGCATCGTACTAAAAAACAAATGAAAACTAGAAGTATTATCAGCGATATTTTTGATGGGAAGCTTTTAAGCAGCGTACAATGCTTAACCTGTGACAGGGTTTCGACAAGGGTCGAGACATTCCAAGACTTATCGCTGCCCATTCCAAGTCGAGACCACATCGACATGCTGCACCAGGGTTCACTGACTCCTCAGAAAGCAGGTCCATGTTCCGATGTTGTATATGTCACTAATCAGTCAGGATGGCTTACATGGCTTTTTCAGTGGATGCGATCCTGGTTTTGGGGTCCTGTGGTGAGCTTGCATGATTGTTTATCAGCCTTTTTTAGTGCTGACGAGTTGAAGGGCGATAATATGTACAGCTGTGAAAAATGTAATAAACTTCGCAATGGTATTAAATTTTCTAAAGTCCTAGAACTGCCAGAAATACTGTGCGTTCACCTGAAGAGGTTTCGTCATGAATTAATGTTTAGTTCAAAGATAGCAAACTATGTATCTTTTCCACTCGAGGGTTTAGATATGAGACCGTACTTGCATAAAGAATGTGTATCAAAAGTGTCAACGTATGATCTAATATCCATCATTTGCCACCATGGAACGGCAGGCGGTGGTCATTACACGTGTTATGCTCTTAATCCAGATGTAAATCAATGGTTTGAATTCGATGATCAGTGCGTAACGCAAGTATCACCAGAGACGGTTAAGAACTGCGAAGCTTACGTGCTCTTTTACAAAAAGTGGTCCCAAGAAATGCTTCAACTACGCGATAAAGCGGTAGAACTGATGGAGATATCATCCCGAGAACCATCCGATTTGAGTTTCTTTGTGTCACGACAATGGATAAATCGCTTTAATACTTTTTCGGAACCTGGGCCTATTGACAATAAGGACTTTCTATGCCCGCATGGTGGAGTTAATCCTGTAAGAGCTCAGTTCGTAGACAAGATCAGTATGCCAATCCCGCAGGTTGTGTGGGAGTATCTCTATAACACGTAAGCTTGATTCTGCACTATAAAAATTAAACACTGGTATTTAAAGTGAATAAATAATTTATACTTTTATATGATCAGATTCGGCGGAGGCCCGGCTTGCACACATTTGTACGAGTGTCCTGTATGTGAAGAAAAACACGAGTCTTTGCAGAAGAGGATGCAGTATGAAATGGAAGTGTTTCTGCGATTGAACTACAATGCCGATAATCCGACAGCTATTTATGCTTTGGCAATGGCATGGCTACGACAGTGGCAGAGTTTTGTCAGGGGTAAAGAAACCCAACCCCCTGGACCAATCGATAACTCGTCGATCGTTATTAACAAAAACGGACAAAATGTCTTAAAACCCGGTAAGTCTATATTTATCGTCCAGCAATCAGAAAACCTAAAATAGTTGAATTTTCTCAGGTTCTGACTACGGGCAAATACCTGAAGAGCTTTGGCAATTTTTCCTCAGTACATACGGCGGAGGGCCTGAGCTCATGTTGCATTCGTGCCAAAGGCCGACGTCCACTCAACCAAATATTTCTCTACATTCCACTTCGAATCCAAATCTTATCGATCAGGTTCCTAAGTGTAATCGAACAGAGGCTAAATCCAACAAACTAACTTTAACGAAAAGTTTGGAAAGTATTTCTCAACCAGACAGCGTTATTGAGCGTATACTTTCTGATAACGACTCTCAAACGCAGAGGGATATTAGCGGGTAATAAAGGACGTCCATGACGCATCCTTTACATTCTAGGCATTGAATAATTAATATAAATGCTCGAAAGAAATAAAGACACTTCCATAGGGTGAAATGAATTAAGCGAGAGTCGATATTTGAAATTTGACTTTTCTATGTGTAATCTTGTTACAGATTTATTAGTGGATTATTTAAATCAAAAGTATTTTATCAGTGGGGAAGAAACGAATGGTGCGATAGATGTATAACTTGTAATATACGCGAGTAAAACAATGCTGAAACATTATATGCATTTAAAATATGGTTTCTTAAATGTTTATGAATATTTCTATCTTGTGTCCTTACGTGGAAGCGAAAATTTGGCCATTATGTATGATTAAGTCTAGATATTAAGCAGGGGATTAGGTAGTCGATGGGAAGTGTAGCTAGTAAAATACTTGACATTCGCGGTATAAACCATTTCTACCGTACTTTTATACTTTTCGTTCGAGTTAAGTGAGGCCGTTGCGTTCTTGCCTTCCTCGTTCGTTTTCTTAAAAAGCTGCAGAAGACTGATAAATTTACCTAATTTACGAAATGTTTCATTCAGTAGAGATTTCCTAAACCCATTTAAATTGATTAGAACGCTACGGTCAGAATGAAAGTTTCAGTGTTCAACAGGGAGGCATTGTACTAAATTTTAAATAATGCCGCCAGTTCGATACTAGCAAGGGCTATTGTTTCGCGCTGCTTAAATCTGGTATTTTACGAAACACTTACATCGAGTACTAATTAGACGGGGGGGTGAACCGGGAGTCACTAGTTGGGACGCAACACGTGTACATTTATTAAAAATGTCAATAATTGACTGTGCAGTGTATGATAATTGAGAAAAAAGATTAATAAAAAAATTGGTTTCGTTATTTGTCGGGTTAACGTCCACTTTGAGTATATTAAACAGTTTCGGGACGATAACGTCATTGATGGAAGAATGTGTACTTTACTCAATTTCAAATAGTCCGCCATTTTGTTCGGATAGCTACAGCATGGTTCAGTGTCGGCACAAATATACTTCATTGGCCATTTCAATTTCACCATAGCCTCGTTAGCCAATGGTAGATCGTCGAGATTTACTGTGCCGAACACATTGGGAAAAAGAAACTAGCGGCATTCCTCTTCTCCGATTGGAAGAGATGTGTTCTCTCTTGCTCTTTCCCTTTCCCGAGTTATGTGTAGCAAGATGGCCGCCTAAGCGAAGTGAGTGCGTGACATTCCGTAGGGTGTTGTGTTTGTGAAGTTCCTCCGTGGCAAAATTCGTGAATATTCCCTGGCGCGACGCGGTGACAGCCGTTTGCCGATTATCGCGTCGCCGTTGCCACTCAACGGCATCGACTAACGGCCTGCAGGTGGGTCTCAGAGATTCAGAAATGCGAGCACATCGTCGAGGAGGCGATTGTTGTCGAGGCTGCTGCGGTACGTGAAAAGTCGAGGCAGCCGATCCGATTCCTCTTCAATTCCCTTGCCAGGTTGCTCGGAAGCATGTTTGTCATCGGTTTGCATCTATAATAGGCACGCCAACGTCTTGATAACGCGGATTGCAGCTTTCGGCACTTTGCAGCGAGTAACCCTCTCACCTCGTTCGGCGGCAGATGTGAATGTATTTAAATCAACAGACGTTGTTTCCAGTTAATTCCAGGTAATATTGTGGCATACGTCGATTAGATCCCTGTTAGAGTGGACATTCATCGGGGAAGGATCGTTCGAGATCATTGAACGGACACGTTCACGGTCAGTCGATGGATTCTGTTAGGCAAAGTGCTCTACAGCTTTCTCTAGAAGTTAATCTTGCTTAGACCAAGTTCTTTGGTTTACTTTGAACCGATGCATCGTTTCTGATTTAATATCTATGTATCGTAATTTGTATCCTAGATTCAATGGCGAGTGTTTATGGTTTATGTTCTTTGGTTCTGGTTCTGCGACGAGTTGCCTTTGGCAGCTATCGAGATAGGGATACGGATATTGAGTCGAGATGTAGCTAATATCATCCCCTGCAGTGTCAATGTTCCGTTGAGTTTAAACAAAGTTGAACTCGTGCCAGTAATGTTATGTTCAAGACTGGCAGCGAGCGGTAATGAATCTTCTGGTATCGATTCCGAAGAGTGGTGGTAATCGGCATGCATCCAATTTGAATCTATTGCTATTCGTCGAGAATCTATTTATCGATGTAGCAATTTTGAGGAAGAAATTCGACGTTAACATAACCTTAAACCATGTTGAAGAATATTTCGCACCATTCTGAAATTCATATAGTCCTTTAAATACGATCGCATAGAGGCTGTAATCCTTCAAACGTCCTGAGTTCCTTACGAGCCTTATAAAATTAAAATCAATTTAGCCATTTAATGTCAATTTGTGTTTCATCGTGAAATTATTATTAGCCTTCTATACTTTTCTCCGGATCCCGAGACGAGTTTCTCGATTATCAGATTCCGAAGTGACGTCTCGTATCTCGGCATACTCGAGCTCTATAATTGCAGATTGATTTTCCTCCGTTGCAGCGAGCAAGTGCCACTGACCGGGGTCTATTTTCGGCGAGGCGCTTTCGCGACTCCGCCGCGAATTTATGCGCGAGGTCGCCGGAAAGGTGCCGCTGCCAAAGGGAAGAAGAAAAAGATATCCATGCCGAGAAAAGGACCGAGGGGATAAAAAAGTAGGAGCTTTTCGCCGGATGCTCTCTTCGGCGCTCTCCAGCGGCATTCCACCAGGGCGCATTCCTGGGCCTCTACGTTTCCGCGGTCGTCTTTTTCCAATTTTTCTACACGGGCGAATCGATTCTCTTCAACGATTTCTTCGCGCACTGTCGATATCTCCTTGTATTAATAAGTGGATTTATTGGCGCCTCTTTATCGGTTCCTTTCGAGCGTGCCTCTTCTATCTTCGGTCGCGCGCTGATACGTATTGGCGACCCGTGCGAACTCGGGCAATTAGCAATCGGCTAATTGCACGCCGACGAGTAATCCAGTCACAATGCCCGATTGTACTCCGCAAGTGGAGAGCTCTTCCTCCCAGGTCCCCCGATCGTTCGCGGCCGGGGAAGTGGACCAATTTTTCGCCTCTTTCTCGATCGCGAATGTCCCGATAAGATATCTCAGCGACTGCACGTTCGACCAGGTGCAGCGGTGGTCCTCGAGCGGATGATCTCGATGAAACGTCGTTTCTCCCTTTTTTCCCTTTTAATTACGATAATTATCTGTCACACTCCACTGGTTGCATTCTCGGTCTAATCGAGCATCTCGACCTCGCATCCTGTGGAGTCGGGCTGAAAAGATCATGGATCTAGACCGCCGAGAGCAGCCTTTCTCAGAGCATGATTCAGACCTAAAGTTAACGTGGTCGTTTAAGGGACTCGCCAACTCGGAGCATGGTGTCATTAGACGCGATTTACCTGCGATTAAACGTCCGCAGGTGTTTCCGGCACAACGAGCCGCGATGGATCCTCTTCCTATGTCTAACGATCATCCCCCAGGCTGAATTAACAGTATTAATTAGAGCTAATTGCGAGCGAGAGAAATACTCTGCCTTGACGTATCTCGACTCGGCATATGAGAGGAATAATGGAGTAATCTGATAATAACGGGTCACACTGGATGATTTTAAAAAGCGGTAAATTCCTTCTTTTTTTTTTTTTTTCTATGTTTCGTGGGTCACCTCGACGATGCGCAATGTTGAATCGTAAATTTGCGGGGAGGGTAATAATGGCCGGGACTCGATTATCGTGCCTCAAGGACTCGTTTGGTTTCTGCTTTCAGAAGGGAAGAGGACGATGGAGGGTAAACCGGAAGCGTAAATCGATGTGAGTACATCCTGCCGATCCACGGAGTCCTGCGTGCCTTCCACCTCGGCCCGGCCTGGCGAACTCCTGGAATTCGCGATATACACCTCCAATTAAGATCGAATTACCGATGCCACGCCGGATCTCGTTTAACTTTGAAATTGCGCCGTTAATGAACAAACCCCCGCCGATATCGATAGGGCAGCGCCTCGGGTTACGGCAGTTGCGGCGCGATAATTGGCGCACGCAAATTCCGGATAATGAGCCGAGCGAGGGCGTTTTTTTTTTTTTCTTGATTCCTCTCGAAATCGATCTCGAGACGGATTTTCGGCTCGACGATTGGTATCACTTCGACGTATGAACAACCCGATGTAAATCCAAGAAGACGTTATTTCCATCGGTGCGCGGACTTGGATATACCGTGGATATCGTACGGATATGTCTGAATCGGCCTTTAACGTTGCCCTCGCTCGCCAGCATTCGGGGGTCCTCGAGATGAAACCAGTTTCGTCTTTATCGGAGCGGACGTAACCCGTTTTCTCGATCTTCCTGCCCCGCGAGAGCAAAAGGGTGCAATTATTGTACGTCCTCCGGAGACGCGATTAATGTCACCTGGCCGGTAACGACGAAGACGAGGCCTCGTCGTTACTCCAGTTCTCGCTTCCTCCGCATCCGAAATCCGTCTCGTTTCCTCCTTCCGCGCTCGGGGACGGCTTCGCTCGTTATTCCCCGATTATCTGGAACGAGAGGGATCGATATTAGATCGATGGCCCACTTGAGACGGCGCTTTCCGAGTGGCTCGAATGTGCCTCGAATACGGACTCGGTGCGCTCCTTTAGTCTCGGGGAATTATCGATGACAAGTCCTTGGTATAGCTTCATTGATTAGGTCTTGATAGCCAACGGATACGTATGGACCTCGAGTCTTCGCGAGAGCGAGGAGCTTCCTCAAAGGGACGACTCTTGCGGTTCCGCTGAGCGCGAAATCGCGCCCAGTCTCGCCGGGTAACGCCAGATGGAAAACGGGCAGGTCACGGTACAGTAACGTGTACTGTTAAGAGTACATTCAGCGAATCTGCGGGTGATTTTTGTACTCCCCGCTTTTATTGACACGGTCATTCCCGCTCCCTGGGTCTCCTTCCGGGAGGAGGAGAGTCCCGGAGTGGCGTCGAAATTCAGAAGTGCATCGGAGAGTGCATCGCGAACGGGTGTTAGGAATGCGCGTCGAGGGTGTGTAAAAAAAAAAAATATCAATAGCTTCTTTCAAAATTTGTCGCCGCGGGCGACTTCGGCTTTCCGGCGAGGGATGATAAAATAAATGAAACGAGCGCACCGCGCGTTTCGAATCGGCTTCCGGCGAGCGATCGGCCCTGGCTCGTTTTACATCGCGTGCGATTAATTTTCCCCGAGGCCGAGGGAGGGAAGATTACGAGGTGTGCATGTGCCCGATTCCGTTTCACTCGCTAAACACGCCCGGCATTGACCATTAAAAGCGCCTTTAAGACGCGCGCATTCATCGAGCCTCTCGCCGCTTCCTATGATTTATCTCGGTCGCTTCCTCGAGCGGCTTTCGACGTCTCGTCGAGAAGGAATTAGCCACGACCCGCTTCCTGCAGGGGATTTCTCCTCCGAATCGACCCGTCCTAACTCGATTCCGACGTAACTTTCTATATCACTCGGAAAAAACTGTATTCATTCTCCGCGGCGCCCCCTCGTTCGCGCCTCCACCTCCGATCGGTTTTTAATGAAATAAGTGGCGCTTAGAGGAGAGAAAATAAACCGCAATGCCGGGAGAGCGCAATGAATCACGAGCGCAAGTAAGACGCAATTACGTCGCAAGGTCGAGTCGAAATGGAATCACCGTGCGGAAAAGTGGTCACCTCTCGTTTCCCTCTCGGGAGTTGCGCGATCAGGAAATCCAGGTAGATTAGATAATAAATTATTCGGATTTTCCGGACCACTCGAGGTTACTTGGAAAGTTAGAAAGACCATTTTCAAGATTTTTTTTTTTCCCATGGCTTAAGCTTCTCGCAGTGGCTTCCATTAACGAGCCGATGCGTTCGATTCGTTGCCTGCCTATTGGAAATCTCGGTGATACGGTCGTTTAGGAGATCCCCGATGCAGACTTTTCGCTTCGATAGCTCGGCCTTGGACGAGGAGAGTGATGTCACCGAGATGACACACGTGAATCGCGCTCAAGCGGCGGTCTTCGTGTCAAATATTTTTCCGCACGTGGTCCTTCGCAACCGTCATCGCGGAAAGCTCGGTTAACCACGAGGCTCCGATTCTCGTGTATGAATTTTAATTTATTTTTTTTCTTCGCGATCTTGTCGCGGATTCCTGCCGACTCGGAAGAGGGGGACGTGTCGCAAGGCTTTTCGGAGCATCGCGTCGAGGTGAAACACCGTTTTCGCAATGCGCACGCCCTCGCGAAACAATTTATCAGCGGTGCACGAGGCTACGGCTCGTGTCCCCTGTCCGAGGTGTCCGGCGAGGATTTATTATGGGGACCCTCCCGTCAAAATGCTCGGAAAATAAGTACTTTCAACTTAAGATTACAACAATGTTTTTGGAAGAAGGATTTTATTAACCCGCGAATTTATTTGTAAAAAGTGAGTCGAGCGAGGAGAGTTGAAAAATATCGCGAATCGCAGTCGAGATCTCGCGACGCCCAGGTACAGTTCTCGGCCCGCTTGTTTCGACGAGGCGGCGTAATTATTTTTATCCCCGCGGATCGCTCCCCCCGCGCAATTCGCATGATAATTCCGATGCTCGGTGCGCGAGCCCGGTTGTGTATGCCATTTTTGCATACTTTCGCGGGCGCCCGCCTCGTTCGGCGCACCGATGCCCGGTCGAAGTGGGCCCACGTGAGACGAGGCCTACCGACGAGAGGGTCGCATAAATGTAAAACCGACTTCTTATCGGTCTAATTAATTTAAGGACGTATCCGTCCGCGATTTACCCGCGATCGAAGGGGAGACCGATCGTACGAGTACTCGTTCCGCGGAGTGGACTTCAACTTAGGTGATCCCCAGCTTAAACTAGGAAATTAATTTTCCGGGGGCATGTGTGCACCCCGAATGTTCCGTTTCATCCTCGAGGTGGATAATTTCCGACGAAGGTCTCGGAAAAAGAAGCGAGGACTGGCCAGTTGACATTACGTAAGGCCTATCCGCGTATTGGTATGTCCGGCCGCGGCTATGCGTTTTCGCGTGACATAACGCGACGCACTCGTCGGGCGGACGACGTCCAAGGATAAGACTCCGGTTGAATTATTCAATGTTTGCTCCTGCAGTGATTTGCCCCTTGGTCATGTTGTGCATCGCGTAGAAGAAGATCCATTTTGGTCCCAGGACACCGGACGGAGAAGGTGCGCCGAGCCTTCTCCTCCTTTCCTCTCCTTCACCTTCGATTTCCGGCCTACTCCGATCTTGGGGAAATACGTATGTTAGTGCAGGAGCGAGGCGAGGGCTGATAAAGCGAGTAGCGAAACCATCGCGACGATTAACTCGCGTTTCCGGGTAGTTTTGTCGCGAGCCGGCTGTCGCAGTCTCGCTGGCGCTGGACGTTAACGAGGACGTTAACGAGGACGTTTTGTTGCTTTCAGACGATGATCGAGCACCGGCGCCCACAATGAGCCAGAATCTGCAAAACTCCACCTTAGTGAGTATCGATAGCAGCGACGAGGAAAATCGGTCTTGGTGCTGGTTCTGCATGTTTTGCGATCCTTGCACTTTTTTTTTTACATTTTGCGAAACCAACGCCATGACTCGTCCTCAAACCTGACTTTTAGTATTAAAAAAAAAAAATAGTTTTGCCCGTCACCACAGAGGAACCCCAAGGCGCCTCTGGCTGACAAGCACCTGGAACTGACCTACGACATGTTTGCGACTTTTCAGAGATTAATCCAGCCTACCGTCACCGCTGCAGTGATGCCGACCTATCACAATGCCGGCGGTGGTTACCCCAACGTGTCGGCCCCGGCCCGGCAGGGGAAACTCGACGGCAACCAGAACCACCATACCATCCCATCAAACGTGACGTCGTCGCATGCTCTTATCCAGAACGTCGCCCCGAATCTGACGGCATCGTCCAACATTCCGTCCCACCCGATTTCCCCGACTATGACCACGCACTTGAATGTCTCGTCTCAGAATATCGGAGCCACCCTTAACACCGTGCCCTCGGCGAACGTCACCAATACCGGGGGCACCACCTTGCCGGTCAACCCCAGGCACGAGGTCAAACTCAACGCCATGCCGTGAGTATTTCCTGGATCTACGGAAATATTTGCTTTTCGTTCGAAGAAGTGATAATATTCTGCGAATTTTTTTTTTTATCCGTAACGAGGGATTAATTGCGATAGATGACTTGGGGGAATATTTGATGTACCATTTCATGACTCGATGTAACGCAAAGGTACATGTCGTAGATGGTTCCACGGCAAGATATCCAGAGAAACGGCGGAGAGACTTCTGTGGCCTAGAGAAGACGGCCTGTTCCTAGTCCGGGAGTCCACGAACTTCCCCGGGGATTACACGCTGTGCGTGTGCTACCAAGGCCGCGTGGAACACTACAGGGTCAAGTACAAGAACAATCAGCTGACCATCGACGACGAGGAGTTCTTCGAGAACCTGGCCCTCCTCGTCGAGCACTACGAGCAGGATGCGGACGGGCTGTGCACGCAGTTGACCAAGTCTCTGCCAAAGCAGGGCAAGCAGGACTTCTGCGTCGACCCCAAGGCCTTCGTCGAGGCGGGGTGGGTGATACAGACCACCGAGTTGGAGCTCAGGGAGTGCATAGGGAAGGGCGAGTTCGGCGACGTCCTCCTCGGGGTGTATCGGGGCGAAAGGGTCGCCGTCAAGATGCTGAAGGACAACAGCGAGGCCGCCCAGAGGTTCCTGGCCGAGGCGAGCTTGATGACCTCGCTGATTCACGACAACCTCGTTAAGCTGCTCGGTCTTGTCTTCAACAATCAACATATGTACCTGGTTACCGAGTATATGAGCAAAGGATCCCTGGTGGATTATCTGAGGTCTCGGGGAAGACTCCACGTCTCGAGAAAGGACCAGATCAACTTCGCATAGTGAGTGCTCACCCCGGATCCACGTCCGTCGCGAGATCCTATGAGTATATCGAAAGTATATCCGTTTTTCTTTCTTTCTCTCCCAAAGCGACACGTGCGCTGGAATGGCTTATCTGGAGTCCAGGCATGTCGTGCATCGAGATTTGGCTGCGAGAAACGTTCTCGTCGCGGAGGATAATTCCGCGAAGGTCTCGGACTTCGGTCTAGCTCGGGACGAGAATTTTTCCCTCGACGGCGGCAAGCTGCCCATTAAGTGGACTGCTCCCGAGGCCTTGAAGCAGAATGTGAGTACTCCGGTTGAAACTATTTAACTTTATGTAACGATAATGACGCGAGACAATGTGGAGTACTGTTACTCGTTTCAGAAATTCTCTAACAAGTCCGACATGTGGAGCTTCGGAATCCTGCTCTGGGAGATCTATTCCTTCGGACGTGTACCTTACCCTAGAATAGTGAGTTTCAATTGTCGTCCGGCGATCCGTTAGCGACAGCTCTTAATGAATAATTCCATGATCGTTTCAGCCTTTAGCCGATGTCGTTAAATGCGTCGAAAAGGGGTACAAGATGGAACCACCGGACGGCTGTCCATCCGAGGTTTATGAAATAATGAGACAGGTATGCGCAACTGGAAGTAACGTCGGCGGGGAATGTCGATGCAACTTGGATATTTCTCGGGACTGAATAATATATTTTTTTTTTTTCTAAGGCATGGGATCTGCAGCCCGAGAAGAGACCAACTTTCCACGACATCAAGGCGAAGCTCGGTCAACTGAAGGCCGAGTGCACCAAGGGGGCGAATTGAAGAGAAGTCTCTGGCTTCGACTGCGATCGAACGCGTTGACAAAAGACAAAGGGCGACTGATCGGTCTAAGAGGTAACTTTTTATAATCAGGGAAAAAGGTAGCGGCTCTAAATACTCGGACTTAGGAGAAGACAAAGATGCGATTCCGACTGTACATTGTATAAACGTAGTATTCGCGTTGCTTGTATTTATTGTAACGTTAGTTCGCCTTTTTTGAGGGTTTTATTGATTTTACATGACGGCTATCTTTGTGCACAAACCGTTTCCGTATATCGATCGTGCCTTTCTTTAGATCGATGTTCCCAAAAGGAGAACTTTGTTGAAAGACGAAATAGAGGGGAAAAAAAAAACGAGGGAGTACAAACTAATTATTTTGCGAGCGTTTGCAGCTGCTATTAGCTTCTCTCACAATGCATTCGCAGTGACCATGCAGCCTGATAAGTTGCAGATCTTAATTCGCCATACAAAAGCGATCGCTCACAGACCCGTGGCCTCGATCGTATGTGTCCGATAACGTTTTTGCGACGCAATGAAATATTTGTTCGCCATACCGCCAGCCGCAATAGAGGCCGATACGCTTTTATATTTTTTTACTCATTTGTAAGGCCTGCCCGGCACTTTTTACGCTATATGGCACGACGTAATCGGCTTAACATCCCTGTTGTGCGGCTCTAAAGTTTCGATGTTTTAGATACAACGGTCTTACCGGTTTTAATGCTTCCGCTTGAAGAAGTCGCGAAAATTGAGTTTCAGAAAACACGCGAAACGAACGCGCCTTGGGACTCGGGGGTCCGATTAAACGGCGATCTACTATACACTATACTTCGCTCTGAACCAGCGAAAGTTACGTTTAATAAATGGCGACTCCGATATCGCTTTCGGTGATAAGATCGTAAACCCTTGCGATAATATCCAATGGATCCAGGCGGATCCGTCTCTTGGCAACTAGAGGACGCGAAAATGTCTCGTAGGCTCTTAAGCTTCCCAATTAAAGATTCTTTGTAGTAAGCGTTTGTCGTTAACTAAATTATTGCGGTTGCAGCTAAGAATTATTTAAATCCTGTTTCGGGAGGTTCGCGCCTTAGCGGTGTGTACGTAACTGTATATATCTTGTATATATCTATCCGTTAAAAGGAAACCGTTCCGAGACCCATTCGCACCGATTAGAGGTTTATCAAAGGCGTCCATTTACCGAAGGCGCTCACATTCGAGATCCGATCTATCACGAGCACTTCCATTATCCAAGTGATCGAGTTCTTTCCTGATCACCGGAAGGGGGCGAACTATCGTATCCGCGATTCACGAAATATGTGCGTCCATTCTCGAGGAAACGTAAGTTCGACACGGGACGGAAGCCTATCGACGATCGAACATCGATACGAATATATTTTTGAAACTTTGGAGGCGTATTCCGCCAATTGTAACGATGCACGGTCGAGGAGATAAATATGTATAATTTGGAGAGGAGTCGAAACTCTTTGTAATTATCGAAAGGACATTGTTCCTGGGCGTAAAAGGGTCAAGGTTCCAAAAATATACTCGTCTTCCTTAGGGCTACGTTACCTACATCGAACATTTTTCTGTTCACCCGCCGAACAGACCTTAATCGTTAAGTTTTGACTTCAGTAAGTTCGATTATCGCTTACGTGCGACAAGTACCGTCTAGAACGGCGTACCAACGTTATACTTGACTCCTCAGCCACGGCGGAATCGAAATTGCCGTTGGTGAAAGGGATGAAAGGCCTCGGAGTTTTCTATCGCCGACAGGGAACACGAGTTCCAGAGGACGGTTCCCGCGTCTATTGCACGTGCAAATGTTGTTTTAAGTTTTAGGAGTTACGTATCTTACGTATTTACCAAAATGTGTGTTACCGGGAGTCAAAGAATTTCTACGAATGCGTCATCGGGGGCAATCGACTCGCGAGTTTTGTATCACCGACCTTCGCTACCGAGCATCTCGAATTGGTTGCATCGAAACGTATCCAGAAAAGGCGCCTAAGCGTGGTTTCTCTCTCTTAGTTTATTTTTATTTTAGTTCCGCCAATCCCCTCGCCCTTCTTAAACGCAGAGCAGCTACGCACGCGGAAACACGAGAGTATGGAAGGTCGATATCAATAATTGCGTTACACCGATAATTATCTCTCTCTCTCGAGTTTACGTCCTGGATCATCGCTCGACGTCGCATCCAGCGGTGTCGATGAGGCAGCGTCTCTTTTAACGACTGTATATTTTAACTATTTATATAACGACCTCGTAAAGGCGCGTCCGCGGCCACTTCCCGGTAGCCCGCGACGCGAGTTCTTTTAACCCGTTTCATTGTAATCGACCCGTTAGACCGTAAGAAATTTAATATATATTAATATGAAATGACAAATATATCGCCAATTGAATTAAACTAAGGGCCGTACGTTTGCGCGGGCTCTGTTGGATATTAATATTCGTGAATATTAATGACATCTTCGCGTTCCGTTATCAACGTCGAACTATACGACTCGATGGTGCGCTCTACGTAGTTCTTCCCATAGAACACATCCGTATAGTTAACGTCATCCCGGAGTTTTATCTGACGCGTTTCCACTCTCTCCGACGATCGCCTTAATTTCTTGCGCTCTTCGAAATCGAATCGCATCGAGTCCTGGTCTCTCTTCGAGTCCGCGTAACGAAGTTCCGCGAATTTCGACCTCTTCGCCTCATCGTCGACCTCCATTACCGAAGGGAGCGTCCAAAACTTTTCGCTGCTCTTCAACTTGCGAGTTTTATTGGGACGATGGAATTCCTTCGGCTTCTTCGAGGCGAAGAACAGGGCCAGACAATTTTCCTCGTCGATAGGACTCCTGACAATTTCGAGAGGATTCGCGGCCTCTTTCTCGGGAACTTCCGACGATTTTTTTCGACTTCGTATCAACAAACTTCGCCGGACCTTGTACGGTCGAGCCGGTGGATCCTCGTTTCGATCACTCTGGGACGATTCGTTTATTGTAACGTAATTTCCTCCTGACCCGGGATCCTCCAAAACCGCGTGGGTGACTCTTCGCAGGACGCTGCACCTCCCGTCCACTCCTGCACACATGAGAGCATCGTGGATTCCGTCCTTTTCGAAAATTCGATTATTCCCCGATTCCGCCAGGGCTGAGAACTTCAGGTACCAACTTTCTTCCTTTCCGCGCGAGTTTCCCGCGTATCCCTCAAAATCGTCCGAAGTGTCACAGGATACGTCATTTGGATACTCTCCATTTTTCCAAGACCCCGTTGTTGCGAATTTCTCTATAAAGGACCCAAAGCACCCTGCTTGCGAGCCGATCGTGGAAAACAGGTCCCAGAAAAAGCCCACGTTGCACCTGGGAGTCGCAAGTTGCACCTGACCCTCGACTTTGGTTTTATGGTCCTCTCTCGACCCTTTCGAAAGATTTCCCTTCACCCTCAAGATTTCACCGTCCGCGTCTTGTTCTTCTGCGTTGCCCCTTCTCTCGATATCTGCAGATTTACATTTTGCTTCCTGAATCGTCGCACATCTTACATTTCCCTTCCAAACTCGTTATTTAAAGGCGAATCTTGATCAACATCTGGGTAACTTACGTCGAAATTTTTGCGATCCTCGCCAATCCTCCAAAACAGCTGACCTCTGTCGAGGGTCCTTGCCCGGCAGAATTTTCCTCGATGGCACCGAATCTTGAATAATTTCAAGGACTTCCGAGCAATTCTCCTTATCGGTGATCTCCAATTTTTTCGAGTCGATTTCCGAAGGATCCAGCATTTTTTCTTCGGCTGAGATCGTGGAAAAAATCCGGCCCTCGATCGTGCCATTCGTGCTCGCCCTCTTCAGAGAGGAAAGGACACTTTCGGAGCATCTCTTCAGGCTTCCTTTTCGTTGAGTTTCCTCTTCATCGCAGTCCTTTTCGTTCCGTATCGAGTCCTTTCCCTCGATCGAGCTCCCATCGGAGTCATGAGCAACTGCCAACGATTTCTCGTCGGCAACGACGTTCCTCTCGCTCTCGGTCTCTCCAAAATCGAGGGTCTTATTCGACTCGTCCTTGAAAGGGGTTCGCTCGAATTTAACGTCCGCCATGAACGTCACCCCGCCCTCGGTAAAACGATTTCGTCGTTTCCCAGGACAGTCCTCTCCCCCCTCGTCCCCGACATTTCGCTCGTCTTCCTCGCATTTCGATTTTTCGCAGGACCCCCCAACCCCGCAGGCGGTGCTCGACCTGGCGGAGCCATCCTCCTCGACGTCCTCCCCTTTCAGCTCCTCCGCCGAGCTCCACACTTCCTTTCCCTCTTCGACCTCCATAACTTCGTCTCCTTTTATCGTATCATCCTTTTCCGGGCACGTTATCGCCTCTTTAAAAGTCGGCAGGTCCTGTTCATCCTTTTTCCTCCCCCTCGGCGTTTCCTCGTCTCTGCCCTGACCTCCGTCAATAACGAGGACGACATCGGGGGGCAGTTTCAGGACCACCTCTCCCTGACTCTCTCCGTTTTGACTACCTTTCCTTTTTTCTCCAGGTCCTCGGAGTTTTTTTTTACCCTCGTCCACGCTTTCCTCCCCGGAGTCGTCCTCGCAGGAGCAGCACTCAGGATTTTTTATCCGATCGGGTCGCTTTTCGCAGCATCTGGATTTTTCCCCCTGGAGGTCCTTCTTGGGCTGGTCGTCGGGCTTGTCGTAAGTCGTTTCGGGACTGCCTACGCAGGGTTTCAGGTTCAACCTCCTGGGTTGTTGCATTCGCAGGACGAAGGGGTCTGGAGAGTCGTAGTCCTGGGTAGAGGTTGCATAGGGCTGGCACCTGCCGTGAGGGGTGGCTTGGATATCGGGGTAACCCTGCCCGTGCAGAAAAGGGGTGTTAGCAAATTGCTGGGCTATCGGGGGACACATGGGGGTCCTGGGGAGGGTGCAACACCTGCGTCTGTCCATCTCCTCCTCCACCTGGCAGATCTTGTTCCTGATGTTGTTCATCCTGGCTTCGGCTATCACCCGCTGAGAGCGATAGGGAGCAAAGTTCAGGTTGACCCTTTCCTCGCACTCCTTGTCCCTGAGAGAGGCTAGTAGTTCCCTGAGCTCGGCGTCCGTCTTCAGTGCCAGGATCACGGGGTCCAAGGAACACCCCGACTCGGCGCCGACCCCCTGCGACTCCATCAGTCTTCTGTTCACCAGACTCTCCACGTGCGCCTTCAGGACGTTGACTTTTAACTGAATAGTGGTCAACACCGGGACCACGTTTGGCGGGGGATTGGCCGTCATGTGCAGGTTGATCAGCGCGTTCACCTGTTGGGCATTCCTGGCCTCTGCTAGTAACTGGTCCTTGTTCAGCAAGTTGATCGACTTCTGGGCACGTTCGACGGTTTCTTCCATGGTGGTGTTCACGTTGGAGCCGGGCACCTTCCTCAACACCAATCTGGTGGCTGCACAAGGAACGATCCCCTGCATCGATAGAAGCTGAGAAGCCAAAGCCTGGAGATTGATGGAGGATGGGCAGTTTCTCTTTGCGCAGATCGTGTCATCCGGTCCCGCCATGCAACTGTGGTCTTCATGGTCCGAGGAAGAACAGCAGCTTCCTGGTGATCTCTCCGTTCCGCAGGGTGAAGAATTGGATCGCTTTTGGGAACATCCGCAGCCCTGCTTCTCCTTTCCTCCTCGTTGAGCTCCGAAAGGATCCAGCACGGGAAGGGGGAACGCAAATGGGTAACAGGGGTTGGAACAACAGGGCGATGGGGGAGCTGGGGGGTATATTATGGGTGGGTACATCATCGGTGGCGGTATCGTCATCGGGGTCAGCTGGGGAGGTGCACTTGGTTGGCTGGGACAATTGTTTGGCAGGATGAAGATGGGTGTTGGGTTCCCTATGTACGCTCTGATCTGGTCCAGCGCGTTTTGTGGAAGCGGTCCACATGGGGGTTGATTTTGACCCATTTGGATGTACGGGTTGAAGGGAACCTGGGGATTTGCCTGGTATGGGTTCATCCCTGGTTGAAGGTTTGGGGCAAATTGATCTTGTTGGTATGGCTGATAGAACGGGTTCTGCATCGGTCCTCCTAAAGGTGCAATCATGTGATAGGGTGCACGACGCGAGCTCGAAAAATCGCCTTTTACCCCGAGCGAAGAATTTTATTTCTACGCGAAATTATTTACTCGTGGCAATTTGGTAATTTTTGCAAATGGTAATTTTTAGAGGAATCTCTTGTTCTCGGGGAAATTGGTTTGGCATGACTTACTTAATTTACAGTCTAGCACGTTTACCTACAGAAGACGTTACGATAACGAGCCAAATGGAGTTGGTGATTCCTTCGCCCGGGGTAAAACCTACACCGTACCTGGTTGATTGTTCGGAAAAAAGCCACCTTGACCCGAGTGGGACTGGGGACCAAACTGTTGCTGTTGTTGAATGTTGTTCTGGCTAGTTTGGGCGAGAACGTTTTGACACGTCGGCGGAATCTGGGGCATCGAGTTCACCGGACATTGTATCCAGCCTGCGACCATTGCAAAAAGTTAGGCTTTCCTCTCAGAAACGGGCAGAGAGACTTCGTACGTTTGTCGCCGGCTCTCATCCTTGGTTCTCCGCTGAGAATCCCGATTTCTCGCTGTTCATGATCACTGGAATTTTTAATCGCGTTCGTCCAAAACGCGAGAAACCGAAACAATTCCTTATTTCAAGTCTATCACATTTTTCCTCATGTTTTTCCCCTGGACGAACGTCTCCGAGGGATAAAAAGATAAAATTTCCGAGACCTGAAAATCGTCCGCTTCACTTTTGTCATTTTTACCGATCTCGTCTAATAATTACGACTTTCATAGGAATACATTTTTTTTTTTCCTTCTGGGGACAAATATTTTATTCCACCAGCCGAATCAAATTGCCCGCGCTGAATGCAAGTTTTTATCATTCGAGCTGACCTCGTCGATGATACGACTTTCATAGTAATTAATATTAACTCTCCACCGGTGACAAATATTCGACTTAAGCAGGGCAATCGAATTGTCGGCGTTGGAACTCGAAACGGGTTCACCGGTCTACTTGTATGAAATAAGAACAAGGTGACATCGTCTAATCACAGGCTTGCGATAACGGTTTAATCGGGACGTGGAAGTTCGACGGTCTCTTTGGCTCAGTAGTTTGCTTGGACGCCGAGAGCTAACAGTAACTCCAGTAACTTTAAAGTATTCGGGGTGTCGCGTTCAATTGGCTAAACCCAAAAGAAAAGGAAGCAAAAAATGAATAAGCTGGAAGAAATTAAGCAGGAACTCGTCCCACACCTGGTGAACGAGCGGGTCTTTTGCGAGCCCGGTTCGCGTGAGTTTATCGAGCTAGATTCGATCGAGATCGAGGAGACTAAATCTGAATGGAGTTCATACGACAGAGTCTGTAAATTATACCGCGGAAAAGTAAATATAAAATTCTCCGGAGAGGTGAAGACATTTCCGGTGTTCATAAAAGAGGAGGTGCTGCATCACTCCAATTCGTGCGTTAAAATCCAGAACGAGATCTGCTTTTACAAAGAGATAGCGCCAAAACTTGGATTAACGAGTATACCGAAATGTTATTGGACGGGAAAATATCAAGATCAAGGGTTGAATTACATTATTTTGGAGGATTTGCAAGCCGAGGGGTATAAGGTGGTGAAGTCGCGAAGGTTGGACAAAGAACACATGAAACTTGCTCTCGAAGCTATAGCCAAAATCCACGGAAAGGGCCTAAGCTTCAAAGATAATAATTACAATGAATTTAGACACGTTTCTAAATTATTAACTACGATACCTCCCGAAATGTATACGATTACCACTCTTGGGAGCATTAAGCGGTATGTCAATTTTTAATATTATTCCCATTATTCCTAATATTTTAATTATGTTTGACAAGGGGGAGACAATCCCGAAGAGATGACTTTCGCCAAAGCGAAAGAACGTTTTTTTGGTATTACACGGTTTTCAATTTATATTTTTTAGATTACAAAAATATCTGACGAGTCGATATAGTCACTCGCAATTTGGCGCAATAGCCAAAAGTATCGATAAGCTCCTCGAGAGTAAGAACATGGATGACATCTATGGTCATTACAGTCCTATTTTTAATGAATGCGAAAACGACATTTTTACCATTTGCCATGGAAACTTCACCAGAGACAACTTGATGTATAAATACAACGGGAACATTCCAGAGGCGGTTAAAGTAATCGACTGGAAGTCGGCAAGATACAGCTCGCCTCTCGTGGACTTGTATTCCGTGATTTTTCTTAATTCTACGAGTACCGAGTGGTCACACGTTGTCGTCGAACAAAATTTATATACTCAAGCTTTACGAAGCGTGTATTCAAATATTCCCACGAGCTTCATGCAACAGGAATTTAAAAAAAAGTTGGAATACGCTCTCCTCAAGGCGGGCTACTACGAGGACATGTCTTACGAACGCCTAGATAATATCCTGTCCGCAATAGAATCACGAGTGTAAACATCAATTCTCCTCCTGGAAACGTACACTCTATTGTTCTTCAACGTCGTTACTTGGCGACATATATTTCGCCTTCTATTCTCACGTACCTACATTAGTAAATATACAATAATTTGCACGATGTCCCCTTGATTTCTTCACTATTGTCCAGGAAATACTCAAAGAGGACTGCGGCCTCAATTTACGCGTTCGCCGACGCGATTTGGCTAAAAAATAAAATTATTAATTACACATTAGTTGAGATGAACCAAATGCAACCAATTAAACGACTTTGTTGTATGAGTCAAATCCCATTTCCTGCTTGTACGTCCTACGTACGTACTTAGCATGATGCGGAGATTTTCTAAGAAATCTATTGGGTCGCTGGCGAATCAACATTTCCCTGGGTTTGTAGGGTCGGCGGGGTAGGAGGTGTGTTTCGTTGTACCGGTCGAAGGGGTCGCCGTTTGATTCGGTTGGTGGCGATGCCCCAGTAGAGAAGTGACAGGAGGACAATGAAGAGCATCACGGTGAGCATGAGTCGTTTCCTCAGACATGATTTTGCGGCCGAGAGGACGTTCGCGCACATGGGGATGGCCCTGGTGGAGACGATGCCGCATTGCGACGATGGCGGCGAAGAAGTTCCCGTGTAGGACGAGGCCTGAGTCTCGCAGTAGGCATGTTTAGTCATAGGCCAGCCCATGATGCGACCGCGTACCTTAAAGCCTTCCCTTTTTATCGAAAATTCAAGACCAGCTCGGAAATCCCGGGGAATTTGGACGAGGTCGAACCTCGAGTTTCGTCGAAAGTCTGGATCCCGTTGAGAGGTTCGGGGACAAAGCTCTTTTCTTTTTCCTTTTTCGCATCGGTTCAGGGTGGAGGGTGCCGATGACAATCGGCATCAAGCCGCGATCGCGCGAATGGAAAGCAATCGTTGGATTCCTACCGTGTACCGTAAAAAGGATATTCTATTTTTATGACCGTTTCGTCGAAAGTCTTGTTCAGGTTCGGTATATTTGTAACGGTTGTAACATATCTCGCGGCTCCGGTGCCCGTGTTAATTTTCCTGCACAATCTTGGGAGGTTGTAACTTAATGTTATAACGTTATAAATATATTTAGAAGTTTATGATAAATGCATATTAAGTGAGGATGAATTTTATAAATTTCTTTATCCGCGTAGCGGCGGAGTATTCGATCGCCTCGTACTTTTGGGTATAGGGTCCGCACTCGCGACGTGAGATGGCGCCACGAGCGCGTCGCTGTTCGAAATGGGGGGGAAATTTATTCAACAATGAGAATATATATCGAGCATCTGGTATTCGGATCCATTCTCGTCGCAGAGCGTTATCGGCTACGTCAACGAATCTCAAACACTCCTTCCACCCGCGCCCGCGAACCCCGATAGATAAAAAATCCCAGAGAGAAACGGACACTTTTTCGAATTAAATGGGCGAGTGAAGGGAGGGGCTGAAACGCGATTCGTTTGAAAACGGAGGCCGAAAGTTACATTCCAGCCGCCGCGAAAGTTCGAGGAGCGTGCGGCGGATATATTTCGGAAAAAGCTCGAGAGGAATTATGTTTTCGTACACGCGAGAGACGTAGCCTGGCGGCGGCAGCCCCGCGCGGAATCCTCGCAACGCGCGCCGCGCCCGCGGTTATCGCCGGGGGGAAAAGTTTCAAATTATGTACACTGTTAGCCGTTGATTACCATTGTTTGGCGGTAAGCGGATTTCCTTTGGGCCCCTCGGACGATTTTGGTGCACGTCCAACTTTGCAGGAGCGCGCCAGACGTTTCGCGCGGCTTAATAATTGCGGCACGCCAGCTTCGCTCCGCCAAAGCGATTCCTGCCTTTGCGCGTTTCCTTCGTTTCGCGACGAAAAAGCGTCAAAAACCGCGCCGTTCCTATACATTTATCCCAAGGATCTCATAAGATGTCTCGCTCTCCCTCTCGCTTTGCAAAAACTCGAGCAGCGCAATATATCAACGTTTTACCTTTGTGAAAAATGTCCCACTGCTCTCCCTTGTCTCGGTCCCCAAAAATCGTCCCGTAAATTAAGGAGCTGGGCTCCTTCCGGGCGGGCCGCCATCTTGTTTAGCGCTCGGCGGCACTTAATCTCGCGGCTGGGCCCCGCGGTTCGATTTTCCTGAATGAAGGGTAGCATTATTCAGAGGTGGCGGAAGCGTTATCGACAAAGTGTCCGCCCGGAGGCGCGCCTATTTTCGAGGCTCTCCATTAATAATGAAAATAACGTGAACGGCCCGCGGCGCTAAGTAAAGATCCACTTAGCGGTCGAAGTGGCGGGCGACAGTGACAGCTCGCGGCTGGACCGGCCGGCGCCATCTTGGACGCGGCGTGGAGTCCTCGTCAGCGAAGAAATCTTGAAACTTTCGAGCCATTTCAAACGTCTTGGTACGCATTCGCACCTCCTCGAGTATCTTCGGCTCTTTCAGGGTGGTCGCGTCCGTTCTTCTCCTCTTAATTTATACAGGGAACCGGTCCAAGTGGTGGAGCTGGTCGAGGATTACGCGTTCCATAATGGAGCAGACTTCCTCGAGGAGAACCCCGCGAGCGGTGGTCTTCTGCTCGAGGAAGAACAATATTACCTCCATTGCGAAACGGTTGTCTGAAATAATTCGAGCTCGAGGGAAGCCGAAGCCCAAGTTCGAGCCCACCTTCCAAAGTCCGCGGAGATCGTTCTTAAGATGACGTGGAAGTGACGTCAAAGTGGTCCGTTTTTATTTACGAAACTTTTCTCCGACCTGGGTCTACCGAATCGTATCACACTTTACAACGTGAATACAGAGGCTATAAGAAATGTTCCGACATCCCTGACATTTTAGTTTATTAAAATCTGTGTACAGAAATTTCTGAATGTTATAAAAAATTGATTTTCATGCATGCTAGGGCCTTCCTCATAGCCTCCGTATTCGCGTTGTAATGTTTGAGACGATTCGGTACACCCAGTTCGGAGAAAAGTTTCACGAACGACCGCACCGTCAGATGCCACTTTAGCATCCCCTTAACCTATCCCAACGACTCAACCCCACGTCAGGTGCATCCGCTTCCCTGACTTCCACCCCGGGTTCCCAAAGGTAAAACACGCACCAGCATTCATAAACAGCCGAGAACAACCGATTCCGGGGAAATATCCTGAAATTCGGAGACAAATCACCTCTGGTCAACCCTGCAGGGAAGAAAACCCCGAAACGGCTCTCCGGAGATTTCCCGTGTAATTAAATTTGAATTTCCCAATTGGTACGTATCGCTACGTGCGCGGGTTAAGGGATGATACGTCATAGATAAATATATTTCCACGAAACACCTCGGGCACCTAATTTCGCGAAATGTCCCCGAGTCAACCCCGGGGAAGAGCGGAGGGACAGGTTGAGACGGAGGGAGAAAGAGTCGCGGACATAAAGTGCACTGTCCGGCGAGCAGGGAAGGAAGGGGTGAGGTCGAGAGGCCAGACAGGGGATGAAGAGGGAGAATTCCGGGGCGCATTCCGGGTTTAAATATTTCATTCGGTGTTATGATGTAAAGCTCGGCCCCGGGCCACAGGGTGGCCGTGTCGCGCGAGTAATTGTACAGTCTCACCGGGTGAAAGAACGTCGAGGCGAAATGACAATCCTATGGCTTTCCGCCCCTTCCGCCACTCCTAAACTTGGGTATTAAATTTCATCCCCTGCTCGCCACTCCGAACCGAACCGGGGGTGGCATGCCCCGCGGTATTCCGCATTGCTCATCGAGCACGCGACTTTGCGCCCCGCTCGGCGGTACATCAAATGCGTATTTCTCCACCCCCGGGACCGCGTCCTCTTGATTTTTCCCCTCAATTTCCTCGCTTTTCAGATTTTTCCCCGCAGTTTCGGAATTCCGAAATCAAACGTGCGGCACTGGAGAAAAAAAAAAAAAAAGGAAATCCCCGGATCCGGGTCGCGGGGTTTTCGATTTACTCCGAGGGGCTCGCGGGGAAGGAGAGAGCGCGACCCTCCGCGAATTCGCGATCGCGGCTCTAATGCACGTCTCGGGGTCGTGGAATAGTGATAAATCGCTCGGTGACAATTATCCTTTTATTAGACGGTGTCGAGGCTAGAAGCAAGGTCCTTGCGACCGGGACTCGCTTCGATAATTCAGGAAAATCGAGGAAGTTCGCCTTCGAGGTACCTTCGGAGACGTGGGTACTTCCTGCATATACGGTGTATACATATACCTACGTATATATATTTCCGGCAAATATCGAGAGACATTTTATGAGGTAATAATGGAGGCGGTTCCGCGAAGTCTTCGCCCGAATGTTGCACCTCGGAGAATTTATCTTCCAACGTCCCGCGAGAATTGCACCTCGACTTCTACGGTTCCATTTTGATGCTCTCTCAATCGACCCTAAATAATTATTTCCCGCAATCGCATCTCGTTACGTTCCATATAACGGCCCTCCCACCTCAAGAAATACGATTCCCCGCTCGGCATTTTTATTTCCCCTCTTAAGTGCTCTACAGACCTCTCGATCAATGTCGGGCATCCCTCGCGTCGTATGCACCCCGTGTATGCCACCGAGGGGTGCATCGCTGCATCCCTTCGGCTCCGTATCGGAACGCGGTGTTCGCCGAGGGGAATTCAGGCCGAGAATTCCAGGGACGAAGTGGGACGAATTCGGAAGCAGATTGGAAATCGTTTAGGCGGTCTCGCGATTAAAAATCGCCGCATGGCCAACAACTGCCAGGCCTGATGAGGGTGGCTCCCACCCCCTGGAGAACCCCATATAAATTTCCCGGCAATTTGCATGAATTAACTACCGGCAGTGCTCGCAAAAAAGTTTCCCCGATTCTGTCCCCCGGGTCGGTTATACGGTAACTACGATACCTACGTACATATATGTACATATCGCCGTCACCTACCTCGGCCCGTCTCTCTCTCTCTGTGCACCCCATACGACGCGACGCATTGGCATTCATGTCGCACACGCGAATGCACCGATCGACACGCGTGTCCCCTTCCACCCCCCTGGCCCCGACGTGACTTCGACGCATTACGTTAACGTTATTCGTTGTTTATTCGGCGCCGATGAATTTTCATGAATGACCGGGGGATTAGCATTCATCGGGCGTGACGTCCCGCGTCGAGGCGGCCTCCTCTCTTCGGCGCGTTAAAAGTGCATCCCGACGCCCAGGGGTGCACGTCCCCGTATCACTCGGGAGTTTCTCCTCGATTTAAAAGAGCGGCGAGAAAAAGACTTGGACTTCGGCGAAGGGTCCCCCGAAGAGCACGCAGGGAGGGATTAAAAAAGAAGAGAGCGGTAATTCCTTATCCCGTCGGAGACTAAGAGGGACGGTCCGGATAAAGGGGTCACCCTCGAATGACCAGCCGATTCGATCCGGCGGACGCGCTCGTCGCGCCAGTTGTAAATATTTGCAATGCACTTTGGAAATTTGGCTCCCGCTGGCGTGACTCGCCTTCGCGATTCGCCCCGAAAGCGGAGCGTATTCGCCCAGGGATGGAGCCGCTTTCATTTCGGCCGTGTTTTCC